TCACGCAATTTTGGTTTTAGGTCCCTCTAGCAAAAGCAAATAAAATGCAGTTTTCAAAATTCGCATTGCGCCTGCGCAAAACGCAACTTTTTTATTTACGGAACGATTTACACGCAATTTTGGTTTTAGGTCCCTCTAGCAAAAGCAAATAAAATGCAGTTTTCAAAATTCGCACTGCGCCTGCGAAAAACGCAACTTTCTTATTTACGGAACGATTTACACGCAATTTTGGTTTTAGGTCCCTCTAGCAAAAGCAAATAAAATGCAGTTTTCAAAATTCGCACTGCGCCTGCGCAAAACGCAACTTTCTTATTTCCGGAACGATTTACACGCAATTTTGGTTTTAGGTCCCTCTAGCAAAAGCAAATAAAATGCAGTTTTCAAAATTCGCACTGCGCCTGCGCAAAACGCACTTTCTTATTTATGGAGCGATTTACACGCAATTTTGTTCGGGCCTACCTTCTAATAAAAGCAAATAAAATGACAATGCAATTAATAACGAACAACAAATTGTGCCAATGGAATTTTAAATCCCGATTTTTATACGCATTGCCGACATGCAAAATTAGAAATAATGACAGGAAAGATGCAGAATTCATTCGCTACAACAAACATAAAATACATAAAGGGAAGCCAACATTTCCACATAATTAAAATACCACTGAAATACCTATGGCGAGAAGTGCCCCCAAAAATTAAGTACTATCTTGTGGAAAGTTTTTAGTGAAATCCACCAAAATGTGGGTGTAATATAAGTATAAGTAGATGCACCGAAAAAGGAAATGTGATAGCCTCCGACACGATCTTCCTGATGGTGGAGTCAAATCATCAAACGCGAATTGTGGGTGAACAGAACGTGGGAAGTGGGTACCGTCAAAGGGAATGTGGTATCCCCCGACACGATCTTACTGTTGGTCTTCAATCTTCAAACGCGCATTGGAGGAGAACGGGATATCGGAAGTGGATACCGACAAAGGGAATATAATGGCGTTATGCAAATTTTCAGAATGATCGGCGTACTTTGATAAAATACAGTACACACAAGAAAACTGACCCATACTGGATTTTATCAAAGTATGGCCAATCATTTTGAAAATTGATTGATTGCATAACGCTATAACTTTTCATTCTGAACAACGTTTCTTAATAACACTTTGGCGTAATGTGAACGGAAAAGGTAGTTTACCTAGAACTAAAATATTCCATATTGTAGAATCCAACGGTGACATCATCATTTGTGTGTTAATGTGCGAGGCGAAGCCGAGCAATGTGTTAACGGTTCTGTACAAACGTGAGACTGGGTGCCATTTACATTGGGGTGTTATGCCCTCCAATTGCATACAGAAGCCAGTTTGTTCATATTTTGGCGTTTATTGGGAGACGCCGAGGGTTAGGACGATACGGTCTTTACCACCCGCACGTTAGTAAGGAAGTTATTGCATTGTGGTAAAAAATGACCCCCAACTTTTTTTTACGAAAATACACGTTTTGAAGCACCAGGTATCCGAATCAAACAAAATCTCTATGATGTCGGTCTGTCGGTCCGTCTGTACTCTCAATTTCCGATTAAACGGCTTAATCGATTGGAACCAAATTTGATACACGTATTCTCAGACATAAGAGGAAGAGCTGAAAAGGTTTTGGGCATAATCACGCATGCGTAAGGTGTCAAAAATGTTAAATTAATATTATGGCGAAACTTTTGCGTCGAATTGTACCAAATTTTGTAGATGTGTAATATAGACACTTTGACACAACCCGCACATTTACGTTGGTAAGGAAGGTATTGCATTGGAGGTCGGTCTGTACTCAAACAAATTTGGTACACATATGCCTAGACCTAAAAGGAAAATCTGAAAAGATTTTGGGCAGAAACGCGCATGTGCAGGTGTGCGTGTGTTATCTGTGCTGCTGGCCACAGCAAATTTTTTACATTGGTCTCCTAAAGTGTTCGTTCATATTTTAGATTCCGCGGCAACTTGGGTACATGCGTGAGGCGAGGCCGCGCAGCCGCCGAAGTCGAGCGATATCTTCTTTTGTGTGTCAATGTGCGGAGCGAAGCCGTGCAATGTGTGAACGGTTGTATATAAGCGTGAAACTGTTTAGCATCTACATTAGGGTTTCATGTATGTTGCGCGGAACGCAACTTACTTATTTACGGAGCAATTTGCACGAAACTTTGGTGTTAGGTCCTTCCACAGAGTTGTATGTAATAAATAGAGAGACAGTGTTGTTGCATAAAATTCACTCCAATTTGATCTTGCGCAGGCCGTTGACGAGTGTGCGCACTAACCGGATGAAGATATAGTGACCAATAAACAACGTAGGTGCGAGCAAAACGCACCGCGAATGCGCCACAACGCCTTGGCCGTTAAAACTATATAAGTATGTGACCACTGTAGTTGGAGTTAATTTTGCAACGCGCAGGTCCTGTGTTAAGCTCCTCTATTTACTATATACGAGTACAACTCTGTGGGTCCTAACAAAAACAAATGAAATGCGCTTTTTAAAACTCGTATTGCGCATGCGGAGAGCGCAACTGTCTTATTTATGGAGCAATTTGAACGAAATTTGGATGGTAAGTCCATCTAATAAAAGCAAATAAAACGCATACGCAAAAAGTCGTGTTGTGCGCAAAACGCATCATTCTTATTTTCGGCGGTATTTGTGAGAAATAAACTCACTCTAGCGGAGATTTAAAATGCAAAGCATTTTTACCAACCTATAGGATGAGATTGACTAAAAAGAGAGTATCAATATATTAGTTCATTTTGAGCCGAATCAAGTTTCTTTCTTCTTTTTTCGCCTTTTACAATATTCTAACCACACAGAACACGGTTCAAACTACATTATTAAAACAATCAGGCAAAAAAACAAAAAATTGACAAACGGTAAACCACACAAAACGGCGATTGTTAATTAAACGCCGTGATCGGCCGGAACGAGCGAAGCGAGTTCCGTACCGATCTAGTTTTTTTAAAGTAATTGTCAAACTTAGTTTCTTAGTTAAACGCAATGGGGCCTGACAGATCCAATTTTCGGTTCGTTGCACGCTAGTTGCGTCAAATATTGTTAACGATGTCAAGTTTATACAATATCGACCCTTAAATATTGCAAATAAAGTTGATAGATATGCTTAATTTTGTTTAAACAATTTTTAATTTTTATAAATAAAATATTAAATCTGCATCAATAACACTTAAACAACGGTCAGAAAATGTGTACACACATGATTAATTTTTTGCGCATTTTTTTAAAAATTAAAAAATAGTGTACTCACAAAGGGCAATTGGGACGTCTGGAAGAAACATTTTTATTGGTTATGTCAAAACTTTTAAGAGCGAATATCACGTGTTTTGGAGGAGAGTACTCACAAAGGCAATTTACATATTTTAAATTTTCAAACGCTGTCGTTCCTCATAGATAAAACGTAATGGGAGGACAGGTCCAATGAGTGTCTGCACACTGGTTACTAAAATCTTGTGGCAAAAAAATTTTTTTTACCCAAAATATGTGACATAATTTCCAATGAGAGCGTTCTAATTTCCTTTGATGTTGAGTTTTATTCAGTTCAAAATTCGTGTACCGATTTCATTGAGAAAGTGACTACTGGAGTACCGGGATCCTTGAACGATGTGACAATTTCGTCCATCCGATTGTACTTTTGCATAATAAATCCTGAAATAGTTTTTCTACTAATAAATTGATTAAATTTTGCACCTACCTTATCGCTGCAATGTCTCAGGTTTCTTTTTATACAAACAATACTGGTCAATTGCATAAGTAACAGGTCCTACCAATACGTCAATGCTAGATAAAGAATATAACACGATTAATTGTTTCAGATTCTAATATTGATATCGTTTTAAAAACTAACAGCAATGGAATCCTCAACCGAAGTGGTAGGGTTGGGTAGTGACGCTATTCGCTTTTATTATAGCGAAGTAAAAAACGTACATCAAGAGTTTGAATTTGAAGACGAAGAACACTTGGTGTTAGATGGTAAAGTTTTGTATACATTGATTTGTTCCTTGTATATCGTGTTTAAATTTTCAGAAGCTGAACAAGCAACAGATTTTCTTCACAAGGCCGATTTATCAAGTTTGTCTAAAATTTATCAAGAGGGAAAAGAAATAACGGACGTGCTTGTGAATAATACTATAAAACAACGAAATTTAACTGAAAAACAAGCGCAAACAATTAAATCGCGAGTGCGAACTCTCAATAAAACTCTTCATAGTCGTCAACCCAGAAGAAAGCAAAGACAAGATGTGCGCGATGTTGCTTGGAGTAACGTCGAGGTGACTACTAGTGTCGATCGGGGATGTGCTAATCAATTAATTGTAGACTTCAAGTACAGGCACAAGGTCGCGAAGTGCAACTCCAGATTCATTAGACTCAGTAGGTGCCATTAACGAAGATTTAACATCTGATGAAGACCAACCCCTGTCTCTGCCATCTTAGTAAGTTCACTTTTCTAATTTCTACCCCACTCCTTTCGTCAGCCCTTTAGATCTCAACAACATGGCACTGAAAGGGAAACTAAAATGGACCACTAGCGAACCTTTGCACAATAAATTTAGCAGGCAAGATAGAGGAGATGTCGCTCATTTAGGATCAGAAAATGTGATACTTAAAGGATACCAGCCGATCAAGGAACATGGGACGATCAGAGAGAGAAGTGGAAGTGATCCTTCTACTGACACAATAAATACCATTGACATTCTTCACCCGGACGTGTTTAGGTGATTTTGAATCAATTGATTTTATATAACTCGCTTAAATTTTTTAGGAAAGACTCAATTACCTTAAGTAACAAACTGTCACGTAGTCACAATAGCTTATTAATTCCAACGAGTGACGATGAAAAGGCTTACAAGAGGAATAAAGACAGAATCAGTTTTGAGGGAATTCTCAAACAAAACGAAAACATTCATCTACATCAATCGGTAACTGTATAATTATATCTATTGAAGTAGAGTAGATATGTTCATTGTTACTCCTGTAGCCTACAGTGAGTGGAGTGTGTACTACTACCGCAAAGTTTTAACTGCCACATACCGACGCCCTTACTCAACATGAACGTAAAAAGTAAAAATGAGATTTCATTCCAAAGTTTTGGGTTACTATTCGTCCTCTGTATCAATTGTGATGTTGGGTGATTCGTCTTTTAGGAATAGGAACACCAAGATGGTGAAGTGATGGAATCCGGGTTCATATTTTTTGCTCTCTGACTAGATTGATTTAATTCTAACAATGTCCCTCATGCCAGCCCACACCAAGACAAATTTCAGGATGCATTGGCTAAGGAAGGGGTTCTAAAATACAACATACACCAATATATAATACTATGCTACCTCAGTTGTTGATGGTTTGCTCTAGTACATTGTGACACTCAAAGCTGAGTTTAGAGTTGATGCAGAACTGTTCTGGTGCCTTTTGTGTGGTCTTTGATTCATTTGTAAAATTGGTCCTCCAGTGGGGGAAAAAAACGGAAGCAGAAGACATTGAGTGCAATCCATTTCCTTATGTAAGGCATGTTTTTATTATTTTTCAAAAGTAACGGTATCCCTACTGCAAATTTGGATACAGGGGAGTACTTATTCTCCAGAGACAATTGATCTTGTAGGTTTGGAAGGCGCTGGGCTAGTTTGTTTTAGTAACACCATCCTAGCTTTCTTCATAATTTCTGTCTGTCCTCGGAGATCGTTTTCCTATTTTTATATGCCTTTATTTGTAGTGAGTGGGCGTTTAGCCAAGGCCAACTCCCCCTACTGCATACTAACAAAAAGTTATGCCCGAACCTAGTCTAGCCGAACTACAGGACAAAGTAGATCTTCTTACCAACTCCATCTTGAAATCATTTGAACAGGCATGTGCTCAGAGGACTATATCCATCCCTGGTGGTGCAGGGCGCTCTCCTGAACCTGAACTTTTGTTTTGAGCAGGGGAGAAAATGTTTATTCAATGGGAGATTTAGGGGAGGGAGGGATTTATTTCGGGAATAGGTTGGCAGAGCGGAGTCTAGGAAGGGCAGTCTTCCTGCACTACTTTAGGTGTGCAGCTCCCTCCCACAAACATGGAAGTTTGCTAACCAACCAATGGTAGTTATTGCAACATATCCTTAGGATCTCGTCCTCACCTCCAACCCCTGAAAGTGGGTGGCAGTGTAGAGCCTTTTAGGGTGAACAGATGCTGGTTAAGAACCTTGGCCAGGTGATTTTGTACCATATCCACCTGGTTAGTCGTTACCCTACCCAGAGGGGCCTTTTGGCAGTTTGCTTGTAGCCACTGTGCGGTGCTCTAGTCTTGCTGACACCCGTCTTTGGTTGGGGCTGTGGTCTGCCTTTCTTCGTCGGCGGTTGGGTAGGTGTTACGTCATTTGACCTGTGTCTCTTGTTCTCTCGCCCTACTCTTTCGGCCTGATCGGAGTTAGCTCTAGGAGCCAACCTCTGGGTCACGGGAGGTGGATGGTTTGGAGGTGATTGTTGTAGCAGTTTGATCCATTTGGGACAGCCTGGCCTTCTTTCTCCTTTTCTGCGCCGGAAATGCGCGTGGTTTTGTGCGTTGTTGTTGAGGGTCGGTGACCTATACAATAGGTTGAGGGGTATGCTGGGATGCTCCCTCTGCTTTATTAATTTGATAAGTCTCCATGTCAGAAGAGTGTAAGTTCCTCTCTCTAGCTCCTCACGCACCACGGAGCCCAACAAAGGGACGCCTATCCAGACGCCAGGGCTACTAGAAGAATATAGCTTTTAAAGGGTAGCAGAAAACAGACCTGATTTAGCTTTGGAGTAGGTCATTCGAGAACAGCCTACCTTCAGCTAGTCAGTCTGCTGCCACTACTTTACAGATGCTCACCCAGTCGGCGGTCTGACCCGACGACACAGCCGAGTGATCATGGTGGGTTAGCCATTACCTCCCGTCTTAACCTAAATTCCAGCCAAACTAGTGTGTTGTCACCACTTCAGGTAATTCAGCTGCCAGGATCCGTTCATCCGCTATTACGGGTCGCCTCACACGGCATAAAAATGAAGGTGTTGTCTTTAGTCTGGATTCTCACTTAGGGCCGTCATACGCCGGGTCAACCACAACCATGACAAGGCCTAACACTGAGGGGGTTGCCAGAGATCGTTTTTCTTTTTTTTGCCCTTGTAGCAGATGGGCGTTTAGCCAAGGCCAACTCTCTCTACTACATACTAACAAAAATTCTTGCCCGAATCTAATGTAGTCAAGAATGTTTATTTTACGGTAGATAGGGTGATTTTGCTTGGCGCTAGTTTCCGTTTACCAAGTGCCCTGGCTGAGGCGAATTCTCCTTGGAACAAATAAGTTCTTGGTGAGGAAGTAGATATTTCGGCGGGGGCGAATCTACCTTGGGGACGAATTTCCCTGGACTGAGATTTCTTCTTTGAGGACAGCTAAGATGGAACCAATGGGCGAAAAAACTGCAATGTGCTTCTTTGAAAGTTGTCTTTACAAATATTACATTCGTGGTGGGGGGGGGGGGACCCCGCAAACAGGACTCTTGCTTAATGCTGTCGGACGGACAGAAAGAATTAGATTTCAAACCCCCCCCCCCCACCCCTGTAGTTATTGAATCATTAGCGCCTCATGATATTTAATGTTAGACACGCTTCACAATAAACTGTGGCTGCAGGTGCAATTCTCCAATGATCCTCCTTAACATTTTTGTTTAGTCTTTAGACTTTGACAAATCGGCTAAGATATGTATCGATGACCTATCGGACAGCCAATATCAACATTTGACCCCACTACTTTGGGTGGAAGTAACTTCGATATTTGATCATTATAAAATTCCTATTGTGAAGAGGAAGGCTAATATAAAAAGCAGAAGTTGGTGTCACGTACAATAGACATAATTTGAATGACGTAACGATTTTAGGAGGAAATGTTTTCGGCGTGAACTTGTCCAGTTTAATTATGCGAGATATGCCGAGACCTAACGACACCTCGATGGTACCTCAGATATTCCAAAGTATTTTATTTCAACTAAATACTCGTTGCCTGCAAGAAGATGGTATACTCCGCATTGCCAGCCATCAGCAAAAACTGAATTATTTAACCAACGAAATTGAGGGCAAATTCTATAACAACCGCAAGCATGTCGAACACATTTTAAATGAAGCCACTGTTCACGATCTGACTGGTATTCTAAAAAAATTGCTGCGCGATTTACCCGATACTGTTTTCACGATGGAATTGTTCGATATGTTTTATAAGTGTAGTTGTAAGTTTTCTCTCGTGAGTTGTGGTTCATTTTTAATGGCGTCTGATTTCAGTGATACCTGCGCGGGAAGAACAGAAGAAGGCTTTAAATTTACTGGTGCTGCTCCTTCCAGTGGAGCACAGAAATACCCTAAGGTTACTTTTACAATTTTGCATAAACGTTATAAGTCATGAAGCTGACAATCGAATGAATCTGCATAATGTAGCGATGATTACGGCGCCTTCATTTTTTTCGCCACGTTTGCTGCTTCCCAAGTAAGTAACACTATTTCATAACAGCATAGTTGTACCTTATAGTTACTTGTAATTTATTTTCACTAACGAACGTGGGTTCCATGAGATACTATATAACACAAAATTTGAGGAACCTCTTTGGCTGCAACTCTCCGATCTGCCGAGATGTTTCTACAGCCTCACCCAGGTCATGTGATCTCTGTCCGGAGACAGTCTCACACCAGCAAATGATGTGTTCCGCTATCTCTCCTTCCTTGAAGCATAGGCGACATATATGTTATCCTCAGCTATCTCGATTTTGTTGTGATGATATCTCAAGGGGCAGTGTCCAGTGACCAGACCTATGTATAATATTAGTTCACTTCTGCCGAGTAATAATAATAATAATATCCCTTTATTTTTAACTCAAAACGGCCTTCGTAAATTTAAAAGAGATTGAAAATAAATGTGTTCTAAGCTAAACTAAAAATTAAATTTAACGAAAAAAATATATATATTACTTGTATTGAAACCACAGACGGTCAATGCAATGCTATAGAAATAAACGCAACACCTAATAGAGTACGGTTAGTGTGTTGTCTACCTTGAAACAGTCGAAATATGGTAGACCCACAGAAAACTGTTGTGTGTGGTAAAAGTCTGTAATAGATGGAGCCATTTTTGTAAAAATAAAATACATATACTCAAACCTTATTTCCTCGGCTCGGCTTCAGAACGCCGGCCGTTACGTAGATAAGATAAGCGCTCACTTGTATAACATCATCAATTACATGAAATAGGATACATTTTAATTCTTCATTTTTCTCTTTTCTAAACATTTAAAAAATTGATGGAGCAGGTTTGGTTATACAAGGGCGGAAACTAAATTTGGCCTCCACATATAAAATTATGAGGTTGGGCAAGGAAAGATTTTATTAGAATAATTATAATAAACATAATTTTTGTTTTTCCATAATAAATATATTATTATACCGGGTGGTGACTTGAACAACGCACCATAAGAATTGCAATAGTAATTTTTTTTATTTCTGATTATTGACTTCTCTAATTATTTTAGAGAGAAAGTCTATTTAGGTATTTTGTAGAGAAAAAAATACGAATCCATGCATACTATAGCTTTTAATTTTCTGAACTTTGAATCCAAGAAATTGGATAACTAAAAACTGGCGCTTTTAAGAAAATCAGTGGTGCCATGGCAATTTGAGATCAAACATGGCAAATGCAGGCGCTTTTGTTTGATTTCCTAACTCCATGGAATTACCGACTTTATAAACGCGGCAGTTTTTAAATTTTTACTGATTCTGAATTTATAAAATAATAAAAAAGAGTATATTGTACGGATTCGTTTATATAATTCGAGGTAAATCTTTCACTCACGCCTTTGACGCTCCCGCCGAAGGCGACGACGGGCGACTCAGCGCCCCCCAGACTTGGCGTCTAGGGCTTGGGCCCCCCTCGCCCCTCCCCCTCGCACGGCCTTGCCTACCTATATGTATCTGTGATAATACCATCACAAAATTTTTTGATTACGGGAGGGAGCACTTAACGAACTTTATTTATTTTATGTCAATGTGTAGGGTCAACATAGTCCAGTCAAATTAGCTCCAAAAGTATTCTCAACTGGATGTTGGTATTTCACACAACGAAACCAAGTGAATTCTATGCAGTTCCCTGCCCGGAAGCTCCCGGAACATATTGCTATACACAAAAAAACCAAGAAAAAATTGGAAAAATGCAGTTTTTTTCGCATTTGACTTCCCATTATCTCGTCAACTATTGCTCGAGCTCATAGAAATGAATTTGTTTAGAATCGAATTTTTATTTGGTACACAACTGTTCATTTTTAAATGTTATTGTTTTTTCTGGAAAAATACAAAAAAGTAATCCCAAAAATTAACATTTGTTTTTGTTGATACGCCCTTCTCGATGCTTTGTCTTTCAAACTGGATGATCCCCAGAGCGTTTTCAATATTTTTATGGATGGTGGAACCGCAAAACAACCTATTTCAACAATGGGCCACTTTCACATTTTTTATTTATGTGATAAATCAATGCGGAACATAAAGAAATACCAGTATGCAAAATTTCACAATCCTAAACACACAAACTTTTAAATTATCTAAAGATAAGTTTTTCGCGCGCTTGGAAATCATTTTAAACGCTAGATTTTGCCGGCACATGGTTGTGACGTCACAACTGTGTAAAAGTTCAGTGGCGGTATACTTGCATGTATACTTCAATGCGACGACGTAGCGTATGCGTTTGTTGTTGCTTACGTTTTCTCCTGTGTACCGTGAAATATATCGATGTCTCTCTCACGGCACGTCTTAAGACAGCCCTTCACGTACGCACTTCGCTTCGAGCTTTGCATGACAGCAATGCTCGCGAGCATTGCACGAGTACAATTTTTACCCTTCACGTGCAGTCCTTGTTCGTAGTACGCCAAGTGTAGTTACGTTAAAAATCGCAGATTAATGAGGGTAATAAGTAAGAAACAAGCAGCAGCAATAGGTAGTTCTTTTAGATCATAATGAAAAAAGTAAAATAAGAAGAAAAAAGGTATCGAGTAGAGTAAAGGAGTGGTAGGTATAAAAAAACGAGGTGCTGCCAATCATATTTATCTATTAATAGAAATCAATGTAAATCACTCTGAAGATTACCAAATTTACTTCCGGATGCATATGCTGACATTAAATATATACTTAATTGTTGAAATTAAATTCGTTAAAATGCCTAAAATACATTTTTCTGAAAGTGGCATTGAAAGTTTTACTGTCTCATTCCATCCAATATAATGAATATATTGTCTTATTTCGAACCTTGTATTCATGCTCGTAATAAAAACTACACATTGCGCACAGCTTCGCGCCGCGCCAAGTTTTCCGACAGATTCGAAAACGTCAACACGACCCAAGTTGCAACAACGGTCCCTTCACGTTCGAGCGTTGCATGAATTCATGTTGGGCAATGTTCGTACAGGCAAAGCTCGAAGCGAAGTGCCTACGTGAAGGGCTGCCTTAAGAGATTAAATGTGGAAAATTTTTAGTCCACCTAAAAATACACTATTCGTACTAATTTTTTTGAACATTCTCTATCATGTCCCCACCCACACACACACACATACGCCCTTTATCGTTTTTTGCGCACAAGACACAAAACAAACCTGGCCGGGCGGACCTCTACAAGCCTGGATCTACGAACACAAGAATGTAAACAAATATGGCGACCACAGTTGTGACGTCGCACCAATGGCAGGGCGTTTGCAGCTGACGTCATATTTAAAGGGATTCCCAGTAATTGTTTTTACTACCTATTTGTTTAAAAACAAATGATCTTTTTCAAAAATTAGTATTCGCCTCATGTATGGCGTATATAGTACTTGCCACCTGTGCAAATTTTTTGCTAATAACGAAACCTTGCAAGTAGCCCATTGTCTGTTGTCCCGATGAGTGGACTGTGGAATTAGTTTAGTGGAAACCCCAGAAATAAGAACAAGAAAGTAACTTTATAATAAGCCCTCTGTTTAATAAAAATCATACCAACTGTATCAGATCGAAAAATCGATTCTAAACAAATTCGTTCTCTTCATTTTTTCCATAAGAGGAATAGTTAACGAGATACCTAATTAGATGCGAAAAAACGACATTTTCCCATTTTTTCTTCGTTATCTTGTGTATAGCAATATGTTCCTGGAGTTTCCGGTCAGCTAGACTGTCATTTACGGATTCAGGGGATTTTTTTGCATACAATACAAATGGTTTCGTTGAGTGAAGTGACAACACACTAAACCGGCAGACAGTAATAGATACAAAACTATAAACCATCTCGAGGATCGCTATTAAAACTTTGCCTTGTGACAATTTTCGTAGGTAATTGCACAAGTGCATCAAAATGCTCTTTTAACAAATTATTAAAATAACCGAACACAGTTTTTTACTGATAAAGTGATAAGATACTTGAATAAACAAGTAAAAAGGTTTTCGTCCTAAGGCGAGTAACTTCAGCGCATTTTCCATAAATTGATTAATACTTCCCCAAAAGCCATATCTATGTGCGCTATGTTTTTCATTAAAGAAATATCTTCATAAATAAGGAAGTTGACACTTACTGCGCAGTTGATATGGCGCGTCCTGTGCATGCGCCTATTAAACTGATATTTACAATATGCAATACGTTTGCTTTTACTATAAGTATCTTTGGTTAAAATTTCAAAGAAATATCTCCATAAATAAGAAAGTTTGCATTGCGCAGTCTGCGCATGCGCACATCTGATTTTTACTATATTTATATATTTGCCTTTACTACAACTATCTGTGATTAAAATTTCAACAAAATATATTAATAAATAAAAAAGTTACCATTGCGCAGCTTGCGCATGCGCAGTTCAATCGTCAAGATTTTCTTTGACTCAGGTGCCAGAGCGATACGCTACCGAATGCAAAAAGAACGAACTAAATATCTTGAAAACTGTAGGAGTAGTTAAGGCCTCGGACAGACGGACGGACAGAGAAAGTGGCTGCAATAGCGCACCCAACTTCGTTGGAAAATGCGCTAAAAATTATCAGGTTTATTTTGATGCACGAGTGTAATTCGGGGGAATATTTCCCGAATAAACATTACAAACTCACCTTACCTACTTATGAAATGTGCAATTATCGCAGGGCTCTTTCGTTTTCTACAATGCAATTACCGCTGTAATTGACCGATAATTGCACACCTCATATGGGATTTATTACATATGAGGCAAATATTCATTCGAAAATTGCTTACGTTTAGGTTTTCTTTATCCAAGTTAAATGAAGTTAAATTGCTGATTGCAAGATAAACACGGAGATTACACTTTTTTCGAGAATTCGAAAAGTGGTACAAGTTATATCGTTTCTTATGCACCCAAAGACAACGAGTAATATGTAATTGCAAATATGAAGTGATATTTGCTTTGTATGTGTACCTGCAAAGATTATCAGCACTTCGCCCAGATGTAAATATGGGGATTTCTTGTGGGACAGCTTTCTAACAATAAAGTATCAATACTTCTTTCCCTAGGCAATTTGCAAAACCATTCCAATAAAAGAAATCTGTAGAAGAACCAACACATTGTTGTATGCGCTAATAGATAGAGCAAAATAGAGGGATGGCAGGTTTTTAAATAAGGGGACATTTGACACAAAACTTAGCGTGCTTTTTCCCCTTGAGATTGACCGTCTGTAGTATATGTTGTCTGTGATTGAAACAACAAAATTAAATAATTTCTGATAGTCTACAAAAGGCAAGACGTACACGCTAAATGTGCTAGCAACAAGCTGGTTTTAGTCTCCAGGAAACTGATTAGATTCTTGGATTGTCTTAGTCCAGGGTCAGATTCCCATAGTTGTTTCCATTATTTGCTGAGCTGGCTTCTTCTCACTCCTCTAACTAAGGCTCTATAGTACGTGTAAAAAGTTAGTTCGTTTTTTCATTTCGTTTTCATTTAAAACTTTGAATTGGGACTTACATGGGTCTAAAAACTATTTCTTCGTAAAGCAAGATATCCTAACCTTAGTTTATATACAATTTTTCAATAGGGTATTTCTTCACAAAAAATCAACTATTTCGGATTGCACTTGTACGTTTACGATTAAAGAAATAGTTTTTAGACCCATGTCCCAATTCAATGTTTTAAATGAAAACGAAATGAAAAAACTTTTTACACATACTTTTATGGGATGAGATGTCAAGATCTATGAAATCTGCACCAAAATGGCGGTTGCGCATACCCACAGAGTTGTATATAAGTAAATAGAGAGACAGTCTTGTAGCGAAAAATTGACTCCAATTGAACCTTGCGCAGGCCGTTGGTGAGTGTGCGCAGTAATCGACAACAGAACCGGCTTCAAATTAAATGATCCTTAAAGCAGGTTCGGCTTGAGAATAATATGGTTTCTCATTGCAACAAAAATTGAAAAGAAATTCAATGTGTGGTGAATGATGTTGTTAACACTGTGTCTTGAATAAATAAGAAACATTACAATCGTTAAGAACTTTTAATACAGTAGACTACAATACAAAGCTGGTAAGGGGCTTTCAACATCAGAATCGAGAAAAGATTTTTTGAGATTCTGGTATAAAGGAAATCGTATATTTGTCATGCGATCGAGTTTAAAGATCTATTTATGCACTCAGTGAGTATAAAAATAAGCAATGAAAGAATAAAATAAGTTGAAATTTTACTTTGGTGCGGGATAAAATTTCAGGTGTGCAATGCCGAAAACACAGTTTGAATACGGGTAGCCATAAAGTTGACAAACTGCAAATGCCAATAACTCAAATATCTCAAAAATGGAGCATCGGCAGAGGGTATGTACAGTGGCACCACGCTCAGAAGGTCCCTGACAGGGCGTGTCCGAGGACGTTGGAAATTTAGACTGTACATTCTCATGCAAAATTTGACTCTACTAAATATAAATAAGTGGGCCACGCGATATGAGTTGCATTACTTCAAGGGGAAACAGTAAAATTAATAATTTTATTTCTACAAAACGTAAACACATTTAAGATTGTTAGATGTTCATGTTCAACACAATTTACAATTCTGATGCACTTCTGCTGTGTAAATATGGACAGTTATTGAAACAATCACCTTGAAATTAATAACACTCACGACTAAATTAACACACAACCTTTAACTTTTTTCATTCATTATCGTCACTTGACCACTAATCATCATCGGAACTGCCGGTGTTCACAATAAATTGTAGATTGTCAATAAATTCATTTCTCGTAGGAATGTTATTTGCTTCTAACCAAGAACGTATCACTTCCTTACGATTATTCATTGTTGGTGGCTTATTTATTTGAACACTGACGAGGTGCGTGAGTTTGCTGGTAAATTTGGTATAAGCTGCTTCTCTAACCACTGCATAAAGTTGGTATGATTCATATCATCGTAATAATCCCCCGATTTACTGTGCGACATCCTCTACAAAACCAGAACGACTACCAGCATACTACGATGTACCTACCTCTGACCAGCCCTATTATAAACTTCCGATACTTCATCTGATTGTTAGCATTTACTCACTCCGTACGATGGGTGAATATAGGTTTCGTCCAAGTATATAACGGGTTTCTTGTCACATTCAGGTTGTTCATTTTCTTTTAATCTTTGCCATACTACAATGTCACTTCTTTCCATTACCAACCTACGTTTGTCCTGACACTTGTATCGAAAACCAAGTTTCAACAATTGCTTGCGAAGAGTTTTCCTTCCACCCATATATTTGATCTTTTCTTGCACTTTTCTAGGAGCATTTTAAAATAACCTTTATTTATGTACAGATCGTCGCCTACTAAACATTGAAATGGCGGTAAAGAGTATAATGTAATGGGCATGCTTAAATTATTACTTCAAAGCGTCTGTTTATTTACAAATGAATCTGAAGCATCTGAAAAGTTATTGCTGTTTTGTTTTGTTTTGTGATTATGTAACTGAATGCACCCAAAAATCGTGCTGATTCCCTTTCACGCACTGCGCATGAGTCCCAACGGCTCCGCCATTAAAAGTCGGCCACTGTAGTTGGAGTTATTTTTCCACGCGCAGGTCGTATGTACTGCCTCTCTATTTACTTATATACAACTCTGTGCGCATACCTATCTTTATAGAGCCTTACTCTAACTAGACTTGTTGGTGCTCCACAGTAGGGTTCCGATCCAATGTGGGGATGTTTGGTGCCAGTCTTAGCGAGGCGATCAGCCTCCTCGTTACTGACTATCTCTTCATGCTTTGGCACCCACACTAACGTAACACGGTTATGCTTGGGTATTTCTTGGAGTGCTCAGATTGTTCTAGGGGGCACCACTGGAAGGTTGACAGCCAGCTAGAGAGGTATCGCTAAGCGCTAAAGAGAGTTTTTATTTCGGCACATGGTGGTCAGAACCTTTCTCTCTTGATTACTGGGAGAGCACCATGCCTGCTTCTTCCAGACCCTTCCCCTTACTTCTCAGCACTCCAGGGTCCTTGTAAGAAGGTCTTATGATCCTGACATCCCTTCATATATCCCAACCCAACACTGCTGAAATCAATCTGCCAGGCAGGTACATCAGTGGAATTATTTGCCTTTGTGAGCATCTGTGATGCTGCGCTGCTACGCGTCGCTTATGTGAAAATGGGCCTTTTTCCATGTTGGTGAATTCTACAAAATGGTTCTGGCAATGTTAATAGTGTATCACTAGTGCTGTTTTGTGCGTAATAGTATATTAAGATACAAGCGTATAATCAAGTTTTTAAGGCAAGCGCAACGAGTTTAATGGCAAGACGCGAAGCGGAGTGTCTTTAACGTTGCAAGTGCTTTAAAGACCAATTATACACGTGTATCTTATAGTATTTATTATTGTACCTGCAGTATAATTTAAAAATAGGAAATACAATGAAATCATATTGACGTTATACTCGAATACATGTCTAATTAAGTGGGCTGGGTGTTCGTAATTTTACGATTGCCATGGTCACTTGACGTTTGCTTATAAAAATCATCGTGTTTGTGAATAAAACGATTTCCATTGAAAAAGATAATACACCGTCCTAATCGCTTGTTGTAAAATCTAAATAAACGTTGGTAGGTGTAATATCCAAATCCAGTAAAGCCTATTATAAAGAATATAAAAAGTTTCCATGGATGAACAGCAAGTCACTTACGAATAAAGTCTTAAATGCATCGATAATGCTGGCATATATGAAGGAAATGTCAAAGGTATTTAAATCTTCTATCTTTTGGTGCATTCATTCAAAACTTCAAACAATACTGCGATTAAAAAGTGGAACAGATTTGGAAGCATACCCTAAATTACGCGCGTTTGTGAAAGCTTCAACCAACGGAGAGGTACAAGCCAAAGAAATGTTCTGCATTTACAGAAAGCGACCTAAGATGATTTTTATTTCACCCAGATGACAGTTTCAAAAGTCATACTTGAAGTATCATTACTTAGCACTTAGCACGCGTGTTTTAAAGGCCTTTTTTCGCACGCATTTGAGCGTTTAAAACGGAAATTGTGATTCAGGTATAATAAAAAAGTCTTAGTTTGCCATTGCACTGGATATATAGATTATACTTAGATTGAATATTATAATCTTTTGTGAAAATACGCCAAAACTTGTTTTAGGGAAAATGGGAAGTTGAATTTAAAGTCGTTATCGAAAGAAGAGCTAGTAAAGCAAATAAATGGTGCCGCAGTATCGTGTAGTATTGTCGAACAAATGCTTAAAGCGGGTGATAATTTATGGATGGTGCCCGCCGACTTAGCAGAGCAAGCCAAAGAGTCCCAAAAGCGAGCGCAAGACCGAAAAGATCCCGGAAAGGAGAAAAGACTCGTACGTGGTTTAATAAAATTTTGATCGGAACTGGTTTTGGTACTAACGTGCATGGTAGAAATGTGTCTAACTTGGAAAGATTTGCTTAACGCTTCTTCTCTCTCTGCATAGTTTCCTTTCTTTCTTACACTTTAAACTTTTAATGGAAGATACATTTTTAGCGGTACGGAAAAAAGAAACTGCAAAGGAGTAGCACACAATACGACTCTAGCATGGTCAGTCCTCGTATTAAAAAGAGTGATTTTTATATTTAACAAAGATATAAGATATTACTTTAAACTCAATTTAATAATAAATTAATGTTTAACATTTATATCGTAATTAGCGCACTATAAATAAATTGTTATTGTGATTCTAAGTAGAACAAGGTCTTAGTTTGTAGCTTAAATATAACATTGTGCCAAAATAAAGATTTATTTTTAATTTTATTTGTTTATTAACATATGTGTGTCGCTTTCTGTTTTACCACTTTGGGGTAATTGACGTTTAATCATTTTCAGTCCTTCTGCTGTTGTTGTCTGAGGTTCATACTGTGACTAAATCCATCTGTCGTGGAATATGTGAAGATCCTTATTGTCATGGAAATTGTGATATTCATACATCAACAATCATCTTTTTTTTGTTGTTATAAGTTAACCATTATGGCATTCTTTTCAATTATTTTTATACTAATTTATAATTTTCTTATAATCTTAATATAAGCGCAGATGTAATTATAACCTTTATTGTCCCTCCCTTTCCATTTAATTTAGATAGCAGTAAGGAGATCTAATTGCTAGAAGATGATAATGTATCTATTTACTAAGAGTAAGTTCAAGGAATCAGGTTATTAGAAATAATCTATTTCTTCTTCAAGCAATTGGCGATAATAGAACTAATTCTCATTTATGTATGTTTCTGCGTAAATATTGCAGGTAATTCTCCAAGCACTTTCACCGATTGCACTTCAGAATCAATTAATCTCTTACTTCCCAGTGATATTCACACATTATCGTCAAGATAATCTATGGGGTTAGAAATATGTGTATGTTGTGAATATCGAAGAGTGAAGTAAAATTAGAGAAGTGGCTTGCTTAATAATCGTAAAAGCATGGTTTTATCATGGATGGAATAATCGAGACCCAAAAGATCAACCGCGCTATGGATATGTAAGTATTTATGATCATTAGGTGGTGGTGCTGGATGTATATAAAGTAGAAACGTATTTGTAAGATTTTGGGTTCGTGATAATTTCGATACTCACACTAACATACTATGGTTCCCAAAGTTGGCTGGGCTTTGACTCATCTAAACCAAATTTCCAATCTTGGGGCCCTACCTCTTACCTTAATTTTTATGAATAATAAATATCCGAATGAAATATCAAATTTATCACCTATTTTTACAAATTTATTTGTGAAAAGGTAGCAAATGAGGGCGTGTAAAAGAACGCTTTTAGAAACACGAAGAAAGTGTGTGTACCTACCAGGGCTGTGTAATTAACAACCTTGGGGACGGGGCTACATGATCTGGGCGCCATCTCCGAGCGTGGTTTTACTAACATGGTGATTTTTCACTTTTTTTTCTATCTTCTTGTACAGTTTTGTTCCGAATGTTTTCAAATTGGTGTCGTCGGAAAGATCTTGTAAACGCGCACAGCTCTTGTGTGAGGGAACTTTATTTTTCATGGTGGCAAAATTAATCACCTTTTGTAAGGCGCGCGGCTTCCAGGGGTAGCGGATTTCTGGGGCCCAAAAGTCTCTCTTTCTCGTATCTCAAGCTAAAAATTTAGCACTATTTTGTGGAGGGTTTTTAGTGAAATCCACCCAAATGCAAATTGTGGGTGAACGGGACGTCGGAAGTGGGTACTGACAAAGGGAAATATGGTAGGCCCCAACAAGATCTCATTGACGGTGGAGTCAAAACTGGCTAATAGAATACTCACATGAGGGCCGATCATTTTTTTAAATGTCTTATCGAATCGCCCATTAGGGCCCATTCAATATTCTTTCATGGGTTATAACCCATAGTTTTGGAAACACTGCACTAATGAGAGTTCACAACTGATTATTGTTCATTTGACGATACCAACAATGAGAAGTTAATCTGTAAGCTGATCGACAATAATTATTATGATCCGCGTTCAGAATTGACATTTACAAAACAGACATAAGAGCGATATGCAGCCTTGTACTACATGTTGCAATACTTTTGTTCCAACTAACGCAACGAACTTATTTATTTAACAAGGAACATTTACATGACAATTACACAACTATGAATCATATACGCGGCAGGCGAGGGCGAGGTGGCGGATTGTGGGGCCCTTTGCGGTTGTATTTTGGGATTTTTGGTTTTGTGTCTTGGAAAAAGTCTGTAAATTTAGGTTCTACATATTTTTCGTCAAATTTTTTCTGTAATACACAATACCAAGATTAAGATCTAATTGAACAGAGCATTTTTACCATAATTTTCCATAAAGTTTTATCAATTTCTTCTTTATTGGACATCGTTTTTGCTTGAATTTGAAAGTTTGCGTGGTAAGGTACGGGCGTGCGTGTTACAAATTGTTGTAGCAGGGTTGCCAATTTGCAATTGGCGCGATTGCAAGATTGTCATTTTTACCATTTTTCTTTATTTGACTGGCAGATTCTGATTGTGGATAAAACTAAGTCAAGTAAAAACAGTATTGGTATTATATATGGTATTGGCCTTTGATTATATACTACTGGATAGCGCATTCTTAATGATAGAAGAGCACAACCCGTTTTCCAATTTGTGCAACGCAGATAGCTATAATTTTTCGGTGAAAAGAAATGAGATAAGTGTACCAATTTGAATTGCGCATGTCAGGCGTTAATAAACCGGAAACTAATCGAACGAACTCCCTTGTGCAACAGCAGATGTAATGGCATGAATGGATAGGAATAGATTTGTCGCTTCGAATTAGTAGATCGGCTTCAAGTTCGAAATACCTAGTGCACCAAAATGCATTAAAAAACTTTGAAATATTAAGAGATTCTCGTGGAACCAAGCTTTCAATTCGATTTTCAAAAGTTCCGAATTACTAAGAGGTTCAGTTATTCTTTTCGTGTCCGCTCAGTAGACATTTTAACAGGGATTGAATTTTAGTACAAGTCATGATTGAGCAAACTACTTCAGGATTGTATCTACGAATTGGTTGTTTATAACCGGTTACTTGGAGTATAGATTTTATGAATCGGAGAATTGCACCTGCAACTGGCGTTAATGACAGTGACATCTCCAAGATGGATACATCGGTTCTAAACCTGTTGTGCATTCAAAAACTAGAGCAACGATATATATATTTATTTGTCAGCGCACATATATAGTAATTTTGCAAGTAAATCGAAACAAATGTTAGCTATCAAGTTGATGGACCAGCTGAGGGTGGATTACCAGGACGTTTAGCAGGTGGCTCCGGAAGATTCTGCTGGGATTTCCTTTTAGGGGAAGTGTTCGGTTCTTCCTCAGACCTTGCCTACGATCAATGATGTTAACATTGCTATTAGTTAGGTTAAACATACCTGAGTCAGTTTTTCCAAAGGTTTATCAGGTTCCTTTTTAGCATTACACATTTTTCGCAATTACTAATTCTTTACGAATTTGAATTCAAAATTGATGGCGTAAACGACAGAAAGAGAGTTTAGCAGTGTTACCAACAGTAGAATACACGAGCAGCGCTGTTGCCAGATTTACTTTCATAGTGTAAATTTATTGCTAAAATGCCTCAAATTAGTAACGGAATTAACGCGTACAAATTTAAGGTAGGCGATTACTTTTATTAATCCAATTTTAGAAGTGATGACTTCTTATCACTCGGTATGCACAGTATGTGTTTCCTCGGAAGTGAAATCATCTGATCCATCAGGCTTGGGTAATGCCGTGCGACCCGATCGGCATTATTAAAGCGCGTTTGAAAGGAAGTTTTGAAATATTGCATTTAGATGGTGTCTTTGAAATTGACTAATATAGGCACATAGCAAAGCTGCCATCATCCAAAGGTCTATGTCGCGGGTTCGAACCCAGGCGCGCCCGTTTTTTTTCCTATAATAAATCGCCGCAAAAAAAAGGGGACGAAGAAATGGGGGAGAGAAAGAAGTAGTCACTTATATTCACCAAGTGCCACTTTCGAATTTAAATGACTACTAGTTTTTTGTCGCCTCTTCGTTGGATCCGCTATTGCAGTCTCTTTCCCTGTTCGCCTGTGCCTTTACTACTACAATTTTCGGTATCCGAATAAGTGCTCTCCTTCCGCTAATTTTCACTATGTGCGATCTGGTTGCAACAGGAGATTTTGTAATTTTTGACCTGGCTACTGTGGACGGAGTTGCGTGTAACCTTGCAGACATTGGTATAGGCGTTTCTGGTGTGTTTCCCTTTACTTACAAAGCAACTCCGGTTCAAGGTCATATTTTGAAGAGGTAGAGAAGATGGATGTAGAAGTAGTTTAGTCGATATTTCAATCAATGTTTAGCATAAGATGCTTCACTCTTCCCGGTTCCACCAAGGAGCTGATGTCTGTCTTTGATCAAGGCGTTACAATGACAGTTCACATGCTTGGTAGTTTCATCTCTCTCCCCACAAAACCTGCACATGTACTCGCCTATTAGCCCAATGGATTGTCCAGTTTCTCGGTGGGGAGCCTGGAATTAACTGGTCGCCCAGTCCTTTATCCTGGCCCTGACAACGAAGGGAGCAATCTCGATACCAATCCGTCAGTCAACCAAGCTAGACCTGAGCACTAACAAGAGGCAATGACCATAAACAAAATGCAAATATAGATATGATCAAGTATCTTATAACAGATATATTAATATACATCATACCACAAATACACTCCACAGATAATACTTGAAAACCACACTCATAAATTATATTGGGATAGGACACTACTCATAGACAACGCTATTTACAATAATAGACTAGACGTTACATATACAGATAAAATACAAAAATCTATTTATATTCCCAGCACTAACAACTTGACTAAAACCCATGCAGGAAAACTCCCCAAATACACTCATATAGCTCCAGGAGACGATGCAGAGGTTATTCAAAAATCTATGTATAAATAGTATTGACGCTAGTAGCATCACTTAATATGGATTGGGATTTGAGTAGTAGCAGGTAACTGGTGTATGACATCAGCGGCAGAGAAAATGGTTGTAAGCGGACGTTCTCTTTAGGTTACATCCAGTTCTTTCCCAAGGGCTTTCTGTGCAACATGTTCATGGGAGGCCACACCTTGCAGTGCAAGTCAGTAAACATAATACCACAGAATTCATGTCAAAGTATAAGAAATAATAATAGTAAATGTAAACAGAATATATATTTTTGTTAGATACATTTATAAAGTATAGTTGAAATCTTTAATCCATTTCAGTCCCTGCACTGTGGTAGCAGAAGGTTTATATTCTAATCCAATCCAATCATTATACCCAACGCTCTCTAGCAAATCAAAGACGTATTGGTAATTAATTTCTCCTGCAGTATCCGGCTCATTACGATTGGGCACTTGTGCAATTTGAACGTGGCCAACATGCTGGATCACATCCTTAATAGTGTGCGTGATATCACCTTGAATTTGTTGCAAATGGAAAATATCCAACATCAATTTTAAATTTGGGCTGTTGACCTTTTTTATCAATGACAACGCTAAAATTGGCGATTTAGAAATTTGTTGCATTATTCTGTGATTCACCTTTTTCGTACGAATCCATGTAATAATTTGGTAATGAATACTTATTTATGGGTTCTATCAGTCCAATTATATTTTCCTTCTCCAGCATCTTGGACGCATACCATAAATTATTTTCACACCTCTCGTCATTAAATGCTGTTGGTTGTTCGACTTTACCCGACATTATATGAATTCTAAAATGACACGAATTATCTAAATGAAGAACAGAAACTGAGTCATACTTCTTAGCTCCTAAACTCTTCGCATAGTCAATTGTTAGTTTCAGACTATCGTCGAACTGCCAGCCTTGTCCTACAACGGCCGCATATCCAAATTCGCCTTTAGTTGTATCTAAAAAACTTCAAAACTTAACAAACTACCACTTAAATACTGGTGGACTATCTACTCGAGCAGAATAAACAAGTGGGCAAGTCACCACACTTTGGCATAGTAACACCAATATTTAATATCGCTATAGTTCACGAATTTAATAATAATAATAATATTTATTTATTTGCAAAATGTACATAATAAATTTTGATTATAGTTGCAAAGCCCATTTAAATATAACGACGGATCAACTGAGATCAGAAGTATCTGCAGTTACAATTTCTTTCAAATTAGCACACAAAATTCGCGTCGCGTCGACACCACACCATCTAGTGAATACAAAAAACACACTGCTTCCTGCGTCTGAGTGTTGAGAGTTCTCAGACAGACGAAGTGCAATTCACTCTCTTGAAAAATAAACTAATAATAAAAAAACTGGAAACTAACTTACCTGTATAGGTGTTAATGAGAATTTGCTCAACATTGGCCTTAGTCTTATGGTTAACCAAATCGTCCTTTGATATACCAAGCGGGAAGGCGCTCTCCACGGCCTTAAATCCGGCATCGCGCGCTAACTGGTATCGTTCCTCGAACGGTTTTTCGGTGAACATAAAAGATAGATTTGCGCAAAACTTTGGCATGTTGTGGTACCTTGAAATGATACTTGTCAATGGAATTTTACTCATTAGTAGTCTGCTGTATTGCATGATTAGATAACAACAGTCCTTGATTACCTAAAAAATATATTTCTTTAATATTTGTGCATGTTGATTATTATATCGTTAATAAATAAACACACATACGGCAGTTTCTATTACTCAATATAAAGGTATGATCTTGTATAATCCAGTTAGATTCATATTTGCTGATGATAAAACAAATTATTGTTCGTAATATTGTCAGGAAAAAGTAATTTATAATGTTAGTGTCTGGCCAACAAAATAACAGTTACAGTTGCAATGCAACGTCATCTATATATTGCCCGACATTATTTAAACTATCAAACTGTCATCAGTCGATTGCAAGTTTGTATGTCTGGTGGACAAACTGCTCTATGAAATCAGCATGTGTTAAACGTGGGCTACACCGGCTCCACGTACAGTCCAGACGCTAGAGAAGCGTTTGGACGCAACCTCGCTTTCCAGGTGTGACGTAAAGTTTATTTCGAATGCTTACACGGATAAGATTTCACAGTTACAAACGAGCAAGAAAAGAAAAGAAGATTTGCTTTCTGAGTTTCTGCACCATCTTAAGTGACTGGTTTGTTATGGACATTGGTATGGAGTAGGTCTTTTCCGAATTGTGGGTAAAATGATAATGATCACACAGTGACTGTTAACTCCAGAACGCTATGTGTCTATGTTCAAAAGCTTCATTGAACCCCAATAACAACAGTTCAGCATTGACCTTTTTCTTCCAGATAAAATTTAACAATGGGCTCCGCGCCACCCTGTATAAAATATAGTTTTTATTAAATGGGAAATTTACACTACGGCGACGAGTAGGTCAAATGTTTCATAATCCACTAAAATCTATGGTAGGCATGATGGCGATATGTTTTGATATTTGAAATTCGGACATTTATTGAATAGGTCTTTAATGTAGGTAGTTTAGTAGTTATGGTACACGTCAAAAGTAATTACATACCTTTTTTATCAAATACACAACACTATACTGAATATATAATCTGTTTGTCAAGACCGGCTCACTATCTGATGTTGACCTTGTTGATGTGCCGTGGTGACGTCACATATGCGGGAAATTTAAATATCCGGTTTATTTACGTTTTTGACCCGTAGTAAAGTTTCATTTTAAATGGCACAAAAAAAAACTAAAATCAATAAACTTCATGAAACTGAACTATATTGCATCAGTTCAGTATAATAGTGTTAATTACACTATTGTGTATATGATTTCGTACAATATTCTCTCTCAGAATCGACAAAATACTGAATCATAGTTCTTACCAAAGATAATTATCTTTGTTCTTGCAAAGAACCGCCATAGCAGTTTTTAAATTTACATTATACATCCCAGTACGCTCAGAGTAAGAAATAAAGATTCTACTCTGAGCCAGTAGGTGACCTTTCGATGCTGGTAGACCAATTGTGACCTTAGGAATTAATTTCGTAGTTCAAATGCCCCAAACGTTTACTTTGGAGGTTATGTTGTTGTTAAGGAATTTTTGTACAAAATATAAAGGCGGTCAGTTTTTCGACTGTATAATTATTAAACTGCTATCTTAAAACAGATTATTGGTTTGCTAATTTACTTTCTGTGCAAATGACAATCTAAAATTGCTGTAGCGCAATAAAAAGGGCGTGATCGATTCGTCATTCGCCTGAAATTAAGATGTTTTAAACGCACGTAACCTCCACAAGCTACTGTTATTCAAATGACTTAACGATTTAATAAATTCAACGATTATATAAAATGGGCAAGTGCGCTGAAATGTGAATAATTTCTAAAATGAGCTTATTAATCCTGTTTGTGATACTGGGGGCTGCTAGTGGTTTAACAAACAACACGTTTATTGGTTGTTATATCACCCATATAAGTACTAGCTTGGATTTTTTAAAAAATTTCAGTACCATTGACTGTATCTCTAATTGCGAGCGGCAATTTTATAGGTAAGCACACATTTAAATATCGTAGATGCTATATGTGTGCCTTTAGGTACGCAATTATTCAAAATGAGAAGAACTGCATGTGCAACAACTTCCTCGGGTCGATTTATAGCACAGCACATTGTAAAGAAACTTGCGAGAATTGCTCGTCGAAAGATGTATTGGGCGATGTGTACAACACTGAAGTTATAGGTAATTCATGTATACAAATTTGAGTAAGGATCTTACACGTTTGTTCTAAAGATTTGCTTTGGGAGTTATGGGCGGCAGTATTTTAAATTCTCTAATGCATAGGGCCAGTTCAACAAACATATTTGATTCGGATTAAGAAACATGCCTTTGACACTGTCCAATCAGGATGTACACACATCCACTGTGGAGCCAATCAAATGCCTAATACTCTGATAAAAAATAATGTGTTAACAGGATACCCATTATTTGTTTTATATGGGGGCGTAATTTACTCCTGAATATTTATGTTATTTAAATATTGTTATGGGATGGCTCTCGAAATCCCAAAACATGACTCTAGTGAGACAGATCATCTCTTAGCCAAAATTGCAGGCACCTGAGCTCTAATCTAATCAAATTCTAACCATAATATGTATCTTTTCATCCGTGAGAACTTGGTGTGAAGATCGAGCTCCATTGCCTTTGACTGTATATGTATTTAATTATGTTTCTCTTTAACCACTTCGAGTGATGTTTTTAGTGCCTGGGCCACCACAAGATTTGGAAGTGTCAAATGTGACGGATACGACCGCATTTATATCGTGGAAACCGCCAAAGTCATTTGTCGACATCGATTACTACGAGATAAAGGCGAACGTTCTGCATACCTTCGCCGGTTATGACGTAACGAGCCCAGTATACAGATTCTCGAATAATACATTTGAAACCGAACGCAATTTTCAACCTGGCACCAAGTATAACTTAACGCTACGGGCTGCTTCAAAATTTGGCAAGAGCGCTGTCGCCTTCCGAATTTTGGAAACCGCGATCGGATGTAAGAATTGCGCATTTTGCGCTTAAATCCTTTTATTTTGTGACGTTTTTTCACAGTTCCTGATAATATTCCGTCCACACCAAACGTACTGAAGCGTCATGGTAAAATCATGATCATACAGTTGTCTCCTGTCGTGAACAATAATGGACCAGTTTCTGCATATCGCATTGTTGTCGTAAATGAAAACATGAATCCAATTTTGCAAGTGGATAACTTCAAATCATACAAAGACGCTATGGCTGAAGAGGCTAATTATTATATCGCCGCAGAAATTGAACCTCAAGTAAATAGAAAAGATTAGTTAATCCCTTTATTGTCTGTTTATTTTAGGATATACTTAAAAATTTTACAGTGGGAGATGGAAAAACCTATGGTTCCTATTATAATGCACCTCTACAACCGAACACAATTTACAGAGTTTTATTAGGAGTCGTCAGTCGTTATCTCAATGTCACGAGAGTCGTTTATAGCAACACAACTGATCCATCCAATACTTTTGTTACCGTCAGTATTATGCCTGCTCCAGAAAGCGATGACGAATCTCCGGCGCTTATTATTGGACTTTCCGTCGCTATTGGCTTGTTGAGTTTTTTGCTAATCTTAGGTATTGTCGGCTTTTTCTTATTGACAAGGCGGATATCCAATCGAAGGAGACGTTTGACTGATGTACAGGAACTCTCCATTCAGGGACCTATTATCGAAGTGGTATGTGCAAACTTTTTCACTCGTATGAAGGTAGCAATGACAGCAATAAAAATCTAAAAATATACGTATAAACTTGGGAAACTTACCGTATAGCAATTGGATCAAAACTTGTGCTGGATATTAAATCTACAAATAGTGCTCTTTAAATAACGCCAGCCATGTTCATTTTTTAGAAAGCAATTTTTCAATTTAAAGGTTTGTCCTAGGTAAATGTAATGGAGACGAGTAGTATTTATGACCTGTGTGAAGTTGGTAGCCAGTTTTCGTGCGTAAGCAGCCAGTTTACCGAAATACCAAATGTGTTTGTATAGGGTGAAGGTAACAAAATCCCATGATCACAATCGGTTTTGAATTAAGGGTAGGATAATGTAACTAACGGCAAAAAAGACTACTAAGCTCAATTTACATTATACTTTTTTCGTCTAGAAGCTTTGACTAGAACTTGTACTAGATCCGACACAATACTAGAAATTTAAATTTGCCGCATTTTGGTTTTTTTTTGTTTCAATGGCAGTGCGGCCAATTTCGGAAAACAAATCTCAATATCGTACATTTAAATTGCTTGGAAACAAACATGAATAACAAGCAAAAGAAACTCATTTTTGCTATGTACATGTACCTAATTCAAGAGACTTATATTTGAGGTTATGTTCAAGAGTATAAAAATACAGGTGTTGGCAGCACGGAATTTGTTCTAATTTGGTGCTAGTGCGCAAGTCACAAGTATGAAATTTGGATGGAAAATGGGTCTGGACCGAGTTTGAAATCTAGTTTCTAGATTAGAATCTTTGAAGGAATTTTCTGATTCACATTGTCAAAATTTTAACAAGTTCGTCTAGTACAAGTTCTAGTCAAAGTTTCTAGACGAAAAAAGTATAATGTAAATTGAGCTTTATTCAGAAACAAAAATAAGTCATGAAACCGTCACCCTCTAGTATACCAAGTAAGAAGTGCAATTGTCTGAAGATGCTGTAAGTAAATATGATAATGTTTCATAGCATGTTTCACTAGTGTGACAGATGCATCTCAGTTGAGTTGTACCTTGGGACAATTCTCAATGAAACCTATCACTTTCTCTTTATGAGTATCTAAATCGAGTTCCAACCGCCATTCTGATGATATTCGCATTTGAAGTTGCGGCTCCTTCAACAAATGCGTTTTGTGAAGACTTTCATCTTTCTCTTTGCGAGTACCCACTTCCGACACTGTTCTCTAAAATGCATATCTTTTTTACTAGTGATCCGACCAGCCCACAGTACCTTTAGATACATCTCAAGACGATTTATCGCTTCCCATTTGTGGACTACCAGCTTCTGACACTCCATTCTCAAGATATTTGCATTTGGGAGCCTGATCTTATTAGGAGGTCTGGGGGGTATGGATGATCTCCCAGGAAATGAAAGGCTCAGTGTTCCTTTTCCTGCAAATATCAAAATTTTCGTACACTAGAGGAAGTGGCTAGGTGGTATTCCATACCCCCCAGAGCCCCCTGGTGTACATTCCCTCTCAAAACGTTCAGCCCTGATAGTTTTTCATAAAGGTGCATCGAATCTTCCTTTCCTAAGGAGAATCCCTATCCCACGGACTTCTGGTGTTACAATCGATGGTCCTTTTCTGAAAACTATGATATGAAGGGTCAATAGCAGAAAATATTTCGGGAGAAAATGTGTAACCCGGTGGGTGGGGTGGGGGTAGCGCCCCAGGAAAAGAAAGATGTTCCTTTTCCTGCAATCACCATACTTCACCATTGCTCCATTTAAAAAATCTGCTTTGGTACCAAATTTTCTTTTTGACGGCCCTGTATATTTTCTCTTTAATGCAAAAAATGCGCAAGAAAAAATTATGATAGACGTATACGAACATTTTTAAATGAATTTGTTCCATATTTTAACCGCTCACTGTATAAGTATACAAGGTGAGTCTCTAACTGGGAATAAATTCAGTAAATTAAAGAAAGTTTTTTTTTGGAAACATGTTTTGGTACGTCGATTAGTATTTTAAACTGCACTCTCTGATGTAATAAAGTTATATACAGGGTGTCCCAAGTTTGAGATGACGTCATCGACTTTTTTTTAATGATAACCCTAATTTTTTTATGAACACTCTTAAAGCGTATATCAAGTTACTCATGTGTGCTAAATTTGAGATTTTTATTTCTTGTCTAATTTTTCGACAAACAGTGAACAACAGTCCCTTGCTCATATGCAGTGAATGCAATGCTACACTTCTTACTTACTAGTCGATGACGTCATATCTCAAATTTGGAACACCCTGTACAAAATTGTATTACATCAAATAGAACGCAGCTTAAAATACTAATACTAAACGTATCTGAGCATATTTCCAAAAAAAACCTTCTTTGATACTTATTGAACTCTGTGAAGCAAATTTTGTACGTATTTGGCGTATTTTGTAAACAAGAAGTATATAATCGTCTAGTCTAAGTGAATATGATAATGTTGGTACGATTGGATGCATTTTAAGAAGATGTATCACTTTTCCTTTGCAAGTACTCACTTCCGACACTATGCTCTTGAGATATTCACATTTGAAGTCTTACTCCACCAATGCATTTGCTTCATAAGTTCCCTTTGATTTTCTGAAATGTGTTTAATTGCTTTTATCAGATGGGCATAATATCAAAATTTGTATAAATAGAAAATTAGTTCGTAACATGAACAAATCCATGTCCTAGTATATCTACCAGATTCGCTTTTATGAGAAGTACAGTGGAGAGGCGCTCTGTAATCCGGCACCCAATTTTTTCACCTATGCCGGATTAGCCGATCTGTATGGGATATGAAGTATTTTTTTATATCCTACAGTGAAAGAGTGCTAAAAGGTAGGTACAAAAAAGTCCGCCATCTTGTCTAAGTGACTGACGCGCGTGGGCAACTACTGAGCACTCTAGGCGCCAACGTCAAGGTCATGACAAAACCGAACGCGGAAGCATATTTTGCAAACTCAATCGCTGTATAACTAGTGCGAGATTATTTATAATGGGTAGTGCCGGTTTATAGAGTGGAGCAGCTGAGTCGCCAAATGCCGGACATCTGGGTGTGCTGGACTGTCTGATTACCGAGCGCCTACTGTATTTCGTTAAACAATCTTGGTAAATAATTGGGATGTGGTTCAATTGTTTGCATCAATCCCAAAACTGCTATGGGAACAGTAACATGGTTTTAGTCATAAAGAACCAATGATATGGTACATTGTTTCGGCAACAGTAGCACTAATGTGATTGGAAATGTGGAACAAACTTCCATAACATAATCGTAATAATCACCTTTATTCACAATCTAAAAATACACAACTAAAATAATATGTATAAAAAAAAGAAGAAACAACGAAGCATTCGTGCACATTCAAATCAGTTATGAAATTGGAGTTCTATTCTAAAAAGTTTAACGACTCAAAATCCAATGGGTATGATTAATAATGCGCTGCATAAATGCATATTCTTGCGATTCATTGCTAACTTCACACAGGTCACTTTTCCCAGGCTCCTCCCATCTGAGAAAATTTACAAGTTTTGGGCTCCTCCTGCAAGCTTCCGTCATTTTTTGTTACTTTCCTTCTTACCTCTTAGCACTACTATTGCTCTGTATGATCGAATCATTTACAGGAAAATTCTGGTTATATTCCTGAAGATGAAATCATACCCATCAACCATTATCATGACTTGAAGCAGCAAGTATGGAGTATACCACAGACTTTAATTAAGTTCGAACCGACGAATCTCTTAGGCAGTGGAAAATTTGGACGAGTCAACAGCGGTACCGTACGAAAGGACAGTAATCTGATACAGGTTGCTATATATACAATACCGGACAGGAAATTGGGGCACGAAAATAAGCGCGCTATGCTAAAAGACTTGGATTTACTTATACGTAGTAGGCAGCACTGTAATATACTAAATTTAATTGGTACCTGTGAAACTCCGGACACTTTATTTGTGGTTTTGGAGTATGCTTCCACGAATCTCAAGGATCTTCTGTTAGGCAGTCGGGACGCTTTACCCGGCCGATTTAGTAACATGCAGGAATCTCAAGCTTTTGATATTTCAATTGGAATTGCTAAGGGAATGCATCATTTGCAATCACTAAGGGTAAGGCACTGTAACTGAATTTTCTTTGAGAGGTGATCAACGCTTTCGTACACAGTTTTATGTTAACCCATTTGGTGTGTACTTGTAATCACCTCCCAATTTTGAAGCAGTTCACCTTTTTTGATATTACCATGTATATGGAAAGAAGCTAAGAAATGACACCTTTACAGATTGTGCATAGACAGTTATGTGCAAGGAATGTGTTGATAACCAACGATTTTCTTCCAAAAGTTAGTGGTTATGGTTTAGCACAATATTGTAATCCTAATATGGTACCGGACTACACCCGGTGGACTGCCGCGGAAATATTCCGTGGCCATCAACATGTCTCGAAGAGTGACGTATGGTCTTTCGCCTGCCTGGTGTGGGAGATATGTGTACTAGGTTTGTGAATCCTATCTCTTCATTTAATTGAGGTGTGTATTTTAGGAGGAACACCTTATAGTAGTGTACCTAATAATGAGATTCCTGAGCGGATAGTGCGTGGCCTTCGTTTAGTACAAATGAGATACTTTAGCGATGAATTGTATCAACTAATGCTCAATTGTTGGCAGCTGGATTTAGATGAGCGCCCAACGTTTCAAGATCTCATCGAAACGCTTACAGTTATTAAAGGCGACTCAAATTCTCACTTAAATTTCAATGTATATCCCGAATTTCAGTACGAACAATTTTATCCCAATATGGAAATGGCAGCAAGGACATTTCATTGAAGTTACCGTTTCGAAATCAATTGAGACACCAAAGTGTTTTTATTTTCTGTACAGTATTTATAAGTATTAGTGCTCATTTACTTAATTTTTACAAATGAACAATATGCAAGTTGAAACATTCCTTGACAGGCTAATTTTTTATACATTTACGTAGTACCATATTTTCATACTCTTGTACTTGCAAAACTTTTTTTTAAAGATTTTTTTATAATATATCAGTTTGAAACTGTGTACCTTTCATTCATATACATAAATTCCTGTGGTATCAAATCCTAGATAGGAAAATATGTGATATCCAGTCTTAATTGTAAACGTTGAGGTCCACCAGCAGACTTCCTTTTTGGGCTCTTTGTACTGCCTCTAGAGTCGCCCCAGCGTCACTAAAGGCATCCCATGCTTGAGCCAAACCTGAGGACGCTCGCACGGGAAGCTACTCTTATGTTGGAATTGTTTGGCCAGGATTCTTCCAAAGATGGACCCTCCCATTTGGACGAGTGCAAGACACTCGCAAAGAATGTGGTAAGCTATATCGTCGCATAATTACGTAACAAACAAACATGATTCAGATAACGATACATAAATAAAAGCAATACCAGTTTATTTGTTTATGCAAAATGTAAACAACAAATTTTGACAAGAAATTCAATGGTTAATATAGTTAGTACAATAAAAAATAAAATGATGCTACTTGAAAATACACTTTGGAAACAAAACAACAAAATAAACTAGACCCGCCATTACTACTATTCGAATTCGAATACCGAATAACTTTTCACCCAAATTTGGTTGTGTGTTCTTCGGCAGCTGCGCAGACCGGCCAAAGTCTAGGAAGCCTAACCCTTAGATCCCTAACCCCGTGGAAATAAAGCGCGACAGAGATTGAACTGAGAATATAATGGGAATATCATTGTCAATAGTGTCGATTCTTGAACTGAGAAAAATGAGAATTTGCTTTCCTCCTATTTACCGCAAAAAGAGTCTTACTCTGAGGTGACAACCAATGCGGGTACAAGGGGATATGTCACGCTTTCTTCCAGTGTTTTTATCCAATGGTTTTTTCCCATACTACGATTCTTTCAGTTGTGAGAGGTATTGGGGATTGCCTAACCAAAGGGGCATGTTACCGCACTTGTTCCCAATATCTTTACTGAGCACTACTAGCACCATTGAATAATAAAGATTTATTATTAAATGATTCTACGCACCAAAATTAATAAGGAAAAGTCTTTTCCAAGATTGGGCTACTAGTTCAAAAGTTACAGCCCTTCGAATTTTCTTTCGAAATTGGTTTCTAGTCTATAACTTTTGATTGAGAAGTCTGATCGAAGAAGTACGAATTGTTTTGGATTCTACGCACCAAAATTAATAAGAAAAAGTGTTTTCCCGAGAAATTTTGGTGTAGGTAGTCGATTTTTGGTTAAAAAGGAAGGTCCGAAAAAAAAATTGTCTCAGATCGACCCGGAAAAAAGTTTTCTTATAGAATGTGGCCTGTAGAATCCATAATTTCAAACAATTCCAAGATGGGGCTACTAGTTCAAAAGTTACAGCTCTTTGAATTTTCTTTCGAAATTGGTTTCTAGTCTATAACTTTTGATTGAGAGGTCTGATCGAAAAAGTACGAATTGTTTTGGATTCTACCATTGAATAATAAATCTTATTATTCATTGCTAGCACCGAGCGTTATTCCTACCAATTGCATTATTGAATTCCGGATGAGAGATTGCCTATAGTGGTTGGGTGCGTCCATCTGGGAATATGGATATACAAGGTTGGGTGGGATGCAAGCTATAATGGTATCGAAAAGAATTCTCTATATAACGAATTGAAGAATCTTCTCTCTACCTTCCCAGTATGGGCAGCCGCCTGACTGCCTCGTCTAGAATTCTCTAGTGACCTTTCTGGCCTGTGCCGTTGTTCAACTACCCCTTTGTTCGCAGTCGTAAGGATGCCTTCAGGACCTGATGTTGTACTCTGCACAAGGGGATCAAATGGTTGGAGGCTCAAGAGAACTTCCAAAACGTCTGCCACCTTTTTCATCCACTGCAGAAAATAGTTGTTTTCGCACGATATTCTCTAGGCCTCTCCCGAATACTATCATCCGCCTGAAGGTGCATGCTAAAGGTCCGCCAGTGGAGACGAACAGCTGCTGGTCAAGACAATGGGCAAGAAGTTTACAGGATGGAGGCGCTGTTAGTTGGGTGTCCTTGTTTGATGTGGGTGACGTTGTTCGACTTCGGCCTCTTTTTGTTCACATGTGGGTGCTTGCCTGTCTGCCCGGAGCAGCTTTGTGGTTGTGGTAGCATCTTACCTTTTTCAGTTCTTTGTTTTACCAGGTGGCTTTTGAGCAGCCCTAACTGGAGCTTGGGTTTGGGACAGAAGTCCTATATGTTGAACAAAATAGTGAAGAAACCTTTTAAAATAAAGTTTTGATATGTAGGTAGTCTTATGATTGTGCTAGGGTACCTATATTTAAAGTTTGAAACTAAGACAGTCGCATGGATTTTTTTATTTTTGGAAAAAGTGCACAAGCAATAGTATTGGAACCGATTACCAATACCGTCGCAAAGAACTAATTTAGAGAAACAATTTCGCTGACTTCTGGAAATAAAGCGATTTTAACGGACGATTAGCATAACGGTATCAAAGTTGGGATAGGATTTTATTTACGATTAATTGTTCGCCAACTATTTATAAGATTTCAAGAATGTTGCGAGTAAAAGTTAGGCAATAACAAATACTTCTCGTAATAATACGATTTCCTTCGAATTGATTAATCCAATTTACTTCTGGGTATTTAATATGTTAAAAGCGTTCTTATAAACAACCTTGGGTCGTAATGGGTCAGTGCAAACTGAGGAGCATAAGTATATATTAAAATTGGAATTGTATCATTGAATGTTATTTTGTGATTAGTGGTGATCTAGAGATTTACAGTTATCAACAGTAAGTATTTTGTTTGTTCAATATTTTAATATTTTCGGTTGTATAGTTAAGTAAGTAGATGTACATGTTACATAATTTTTTACATAATTCTTCGCCGGTAAATATTGCAAAATCACCCAGTACCTACATAATTCGAAAGGAAAGAAAAATCGTCAATTTTGTACATACAGTATGTTCCAAATGAAGAGAGTAATTTCATCATTTCGTAAACCGGCGGTGAAAATTCTTATTGGAAGTATGTAATTAGTATTTGCAAAAGCAGGTAATACAAAAACACCAATAAACCACAATAATATATTGTAATGCAAATATATATATATAAATAAATCTAATATATTTATTGTGGTTTATTAGTGTTTTTGTTTTACTTTTGCAAGTGCAACAGCCACAATAGTGCTTCCAGTATGTACCTACTTAATTATAAATAAAGTTATTTATGAATCTTTTATTTTTAATCATTAAATACAAGCAAATTTAAAATAAATTTAAAAATTGTTTATCCTCATTGAACCTTGTAACTTTCGGGGTTGTTTGTGACGCCATCATGCTAATATAGATTAGGTTTTTTAAAAAAAGGTATACTTACGAAGCACCCTGCATTTAAACATACAAATCGATGAGTTTTAGGATTTTTCCTTAAAATCACAGGTTAGGAAATATATTTATGTATTTCATTTTGCACCATCGGTACTGTACGTACATTTCAGTATATAATCTTATGTACGAAACACCATATAATCTTGTGAAATTTTTGTTATTTTTCGTTTGATTACTTTCTTTAATAATTTGACCCAAATAATCCTAGATAAGACCTTGTTTTGACTTACAAGGCAAAAGTCACGGCAAACCTGAAGGTGTTGGGTGTGAAACACCTATAACGACGTGGTTGGCAGTTCGGAGAAGCATGAAAACCAAAACTTTCTATTGTACAATATCCCCAGTGAAATTTCTAAAACGATAATCCTGGTCGATAAGTGAATTACTCGCCCTAGAATTCCCATTTTAAAAATTGTTCTAAAAATGAACTGAAATCTTCTATCCATTGGAAAGCACCTGACAAAAGGTAACTTCTATGGACATGGGTCCAAAAATTTCTGACTAAATGACAAACTCTATTTGTATAATTAAGGGAAGTATTTCGGTTCGATGACATTTTTCAAATGGGAATTCCTAGGAAAATGGTGCACCCTACTGGCCCACAAGGAAGTGCATCATTTATTCACCACAATTATATGAATATATGCATCAATTCGTTTCAACTGTTTAATAATGATCAATCTACCTCTACCCCCTAGCAAAATGCACTTATTCAATTGTTTAATGGGGATCAAATAATTCAGCGAAGCGTTTATTCATTAAAATCAATTAACTGTTGCATGTAAAAAGGTGTCATCACTCCGAGTTATATTCACATCTGGTTTGTTTGTACGACAGGTAGTACAGTGTACTGTGTAATATTTGATGTTGTATCGCGCTTAGTCACTTGCTAATAAATAATGTAAGTATCGAACATTTAATTGCATCAGGTTTATTAACAATTATACATACGTCGAGTTGATGCCAACCTACTTAATTTAAACGGAACACCCTATATATTATTTCGGATTTAGATTTTACGTAAAATTCTATTCTGTATCCATTTTATGTACAATGTCTTATAGCTAACTGTAGCCGTCTTTGGTATATTTTAATTTTTGACGTTTTCAGTCCGAACCGAATCATATTAGTCGGAACCCCTATCTTTATATAAATGCGTCTTGAAAATAAGAGTAGAGTAGTCGCTATTCCAAAAATGCTATTAAGTAGATACGGTTTTAATTTTTGTTAATTTGCCATGACTCGTTGCCCCGGCGGCAAACAATCGCTCTTTGTCACTTTTCTTCTTCTACGTAACACTACCATTACCATAGGTACTTAATAGCATGTCTACAATCGGAACATTAAATACCCAAATATTTCGATAACTGGACATTTTTGGAGTAGACTGCTTTATGAAGTTACCCTTATTTTTTATACTTAATAAGACGTTTTATCCATTCAAAAATCTTCGTTTTAACGATTTTCTCAATTCTCAATTACATAACACAGCACAACGAGCGACAAGGTCACTTCCGGTTAACGAGTATCGACCAAAATTTAATCAGTTAGTCTCTTGACCATGATTGTCTACCCATGACTGAAAACAGAATTAGAAAATTTGAAACCGTTCGTGAATTATCATGTACACAGACGGACAGACGGACTGGTGGACACCAGGTTATTTGTATGGTTCATTTTTTTTCATTTAGTAAAGGGTGCTAGTGTTAAAATTTCAGTAAGATCGGTCATTAAATAAAAAAATTACTTGCTCAGAAGGATGCGACCTGCGGATCTGAAAAGTAATAGGTGGTCGTCTCCAAGAGGCAAGTAATACCTACACCTGCAGAAATGTATGCAATTTGTCCCATTTTGAGTTATCGTGCTAACAAGCCGGACCACAACGACAACGGACTTCTTTCTGTGATAAAAACAATAGTCAATTCAATACCTATCCATATATGGGTGTGGAAAAGTACCTAATAATCGAAGTAACTTAGTAAATAGGTGTTATATTTATCAACGTTTATCTTCTTGGTAGATGATTAATGGGGAGGGGGATCTTTATACGTTTAAAGGCCGGCTGGCATACATTCAAAATCTACGTTATATCGTGCAAGAAGAATCAAGCCCTTAGAGAAATTCTCCAAAATATTATTTTTCTCTTTGTAGGTACTTTCCTCCAACATTTTAGAGATATATATTCACTCTGGAATTGGACGAAACCCTGTTGCGAACAAGAGGGATAATAAATAAAGAAATAAATAATTAAGTTTTGACATCGCCAATAGATGTATCCTGTTTAGACGATCTTTCCGGCCTTTGTGAGCACCTTCTTCCGACCCTCCGTTCTGCTGACATTTGCACTAAATGTTTTGACATCACCAAAGTAGATGTGTCTCGTCCAGACGTTCCACTTTTACCCTTTATAAGTAGGTATCTACCCTTTTCCGACACTTCGTTTTCAAGGTATTGCTTCGACCAATAGATATGTTTCCTACAGGCGATTCATTTTGCCGTTTATATAAGGAATTTTAACCGATCACGATAATAAGGGGTAGAAATTAATTCATTTCATGGATATTTTTCATAAAAGTACCATGAAGGATAAAGTCAGTATCTCTCTCCCTCCACTTCAATTATAATAAAGGATAATAGAAAAGGGATTTGATAGAAAACAGTTTCTTTCGTTGATACCTTTAATTAATAATAATTTTATAATACAGATGGACGGGCAGAAAGTTCAAATCACAAAAATTTAATCACAAACAGAATTCGAAAATTCGAAACGGTTCGCGAGTTATCATGTACACAGACGGACGGACGGTCTGGGGAATGTGGGCATGCATGCTCCTGGGTATCAGAGGTTTAGGGTATTAATCGTCCGCATATGAAAGGTCTCCAAACGGGATTTCCTGATTACGTGCAACTTTATTAATGATATTTTGACACATTGGCAATCTTTTTTGTGTACAATATCACGGTGACATGCGTACAAATTTTTCACTGGCTTTCACGACTTCAGACATCGTTTTGAAAGATATTTATATAAGTGCAGAATTGTGAATATTCTGGGTACAGATACACTCGTACAGGTACAGTAAAATCCATACGAGTTACTTTTTTTGATTTTATCAAGCTACGAAAACTGAGCGCAAACTAGTTGGAAAGTACCTCTGTCTGTAATAAACATTTAAGAATTGGAATAACTGGTTCCGTTGAAACGAATGTCTCAAGCAACAAATAGGTATATAAAACAAAAAAGGTCGCAACATTCTCCCACAACACTTTTGGATAATACGCATTTCGATGACTGCAATAATGACAATGTGGAGCTTTAGTACCATGAAATGTTTCATTTCACAGACCATTTCTCATAAATTGAATGCGTGTTTTATTTAAAAATGGTTATATAAATAGCTCAATGTTAAAGTAATTATACGGTAGGTACAAAGAAACGGAACTTAAATAGCTGCAGATGCAGTGCCCATCTTTCCAAAACAGGCTTTTCAAGGTCACGCTTTTGCTTCGATTTTTGACTTATACAAAGTTATGTCCCAATCGAAGGAGGTATTTCCCTAAATATCATTTACCTTAGCGGATAATTCGGCCGATAATGAGCAATTCAACCTTGATCTTTAACGACGCCACAATACACGATTTCATAATTTTTAGGCGCATGCTTGAAATGGGGACAACAGGTGCAACGAACCGCGAATCAGACCGCTGGAGCCGTATCTCGAAACGCTCTACTATAGTTTTGGCCTTATTCCTGTCAACGTGTTATCACTCGAATAGTGTAGACGCCACGACGACGCTCGCCCGTTCCAATCCTACTAGTTCAGTCGGAGGAGGAGCATCAACGCGAAGAGTAATGGAACCAGCATTTGAAAACGCCGGTAAAGTGCCCGGCATCGCAATTTGGCGTATTGAGGTAAACATTTTTTCTTTTTATTGTTTTGATCTTTTTTGGCAAAAAAAAATTGCTAGAGCGTTATTGATCTGTTTATCAAGGTTCCGTCGTGTCTAAAACTCGCTTTAATTACTTATAGCTGAAAATCTATTTTTATTTTTCCATTAGGACCATTGAAAGCTATGAAAACAAACTGCTTTTGAAGAGTTGGCATTCGATTTTTTTAAAAATTCCATTGAGAAATTTTGTTTGCGTACAAATTTTAATTGCGGACAAGTTTCACCGCAAAATTGAATCACTAACAAAATTCGTTTATTAGCTAAGTCAGGATGGAAATAAAATTATCTATCGTAGATAAAGTTATAGTGTTGGATAATGCTAAAGTAGGTACTACATAGTGCAAATACAAACAATTATCGTTCTAGGTTTTCAAGCAAAATCGTTACTTTGATTTTTTTGGCACCAGCAACTATAATTTTAATTTTAAATTGCTGTCAAGTTACTAATAAGCATATGTTTTGGGGGAGTAGTGTTCTCATTTGGCGCTGCTCAAGAACACTGAAGTCAACTTGTTAATTGGCAGCTTCATGCATATAAATGTATCCTCCTTGATTTATAGGATTTCTAAAAATAATAAATTATATTACTGTACAAACGTAAAACTAAAATTCATTTAAAATGATAATAGTTATTTAATTATGAACCAAGGTTTGTCATTGCCATAAAATAATTATGGACATTTCGACAGGAACTAGTTTATATTTACTTTCAAAGAAATGTAAAGGAAATCATTTATATTGACTCTATTTTCAAATTTTGTCAAAAATAGTATAACTAATTTTGGAATTCATGTAGACCTCGCCCCTAATACGCCTATCAGGTGCACTTTTTCATACCTTGAGCATGAATTAATAATTATAAGCGGAAATATTCCTGATTTTCTGAATTAAGTCAATAGGAATCAAGCCATTTTGGAAACTGCTGTAAGCATTTTTTTTAGAATAACTAAATTTGGATAATGTTTATACGTTACCATTGCCCTTTCAATTGTTTCGAATTATTTAAATGAATCGAAATTGTAAATTGTAGTCGTACAAATCGCAATCTCAATTACCTACCGTGTTTGCCCATGATCTATGCTTGTTTTACTGTCGTCTCCATTCGTAGAATTGCAGTAAAATTCTGCTTTGATGGAAGTCGCCAAGGGAATTCCGCAGCAATGGATGTTTCTCTGCCCTTTTTCAATATGAAAGATAACTTCTTTGGCCAAACCTAGACGGACCGGATATAATTGTACGTCCAACGAGCTATCGTTAACGATTTTAAAATGAAATCAACCCCTGATATAATTATAATAAAAAGTCTACTTTAATTACATGCGGCGCTCTAACACAAAGTCTAACTTTTTGGTATATGAGGGACAACTTTTGTTGAAAAACTGCTTGGACATTCTAATTGTACAGCGCACAAGCTATCAATACAGATTTTAAAACAAACAACCCCTGATAATTATAATAAAGAGCCCCTATCAATTAAACGCGGCGCCCTATGCTGGATTTTGTGTTAACGCGCGGCATATAATTAAATTGGAGCTTTTATTATAATTAGCAGGGGTTAATTATGATTTAACACCGATATCGCTAGATCGTTCTAGGTACAAATATAAAATATCCGTTTTAAACAAGATACAGGAATTTTTTGCCACTCTGCTCGCATTCGGAAAGCAGACTTTTAATCCGGCTCATATTCAATAGCACTGATCCTTGAACTCGTAGAAATCGATTAGCGAAAGTTTGACATCGCTGTCTTTTCGTTCTCGAGTTAGGTGAGGAACAGACGGACAGACGGTCCAAACCATCACATAAGGGGAATTTTTGTCCTTCTAAAAAATTCCCTTAAAAGACCGCCTTTTAAGTTGGCGCACTGGGTACACCTCATTAATCAATGTATAATCGAAATTGATAGCTAGTACAGGTAAAGTCAGAATATCTCAGCCGTTTAAAGACGTCTCTCATATTTCAAATGAACTGATGGAATTCCATTGAATTTGATCAGAATTCTGTAATGGAATTCCTGTTGCTAACTTCTCGGCGGTCAATGTTTCTTTGGGAGTTAGTTTCGCCCCCCGCTGAAACTTCTCATGCATTGCGTTTGGGTAGACCCATTGTCTGGCTTTGGGCTTCACAAATTTCATTACGAGACATTATAATATCTACTAGGCTATTTCCATTTTGTGAAATATAGATATAGATTCCCCTACGAATGTTATTTCCGGTCTTGATGATTTTATGCCACCGCAAGTATGAATTTGAGTCACTCTCTGCATTGCCGACATTTACATTTTAGATCCCTAAAACCCAATTTGAATTTGGAATTGGAATTACTGCATATGATTTTAATATAATTGTACTAATGGAAAAAGTGTCATCCTGAATGAACTAGTTCATTCCGGTTCCGCAATCGCGTAAATGGCATACGAGGCCGCAGACCCTCAACATCAGTCCCTTGGTCCAGCTCTATCTCTAAGAAGTAACGAGAGTTCCTGGCAATTAGTGAAATTGAAATCAAAGAATGTCAAATATACCTACCAACTTAAAATAAAAATTTCAAAAGTTGAAATCATGACACCAATACACTGATAAGTTGTAACTCCACATTTTAAAATTTTGAATTACGACCCGAAATGTAAGGTAAAATTTCGAATACGAAGCCCTAAACTTGAAAGTCGAAGTTTTGGACTAAAATATGGCGAATTTATGGCTCCTTACATTTAAATCTGTGCGTTTCCTTATCTTCTTCGCATATACCTAGGTACTTGTTGTGAAGGACCATGACTTTGGGTCGTCAATTGCGATAAGTTTTGCTTTTTAAATTAAACCGATTGTATCAAGTGTTCTAGTATTGCTTGGGATTCTGACTTGTGACAACAAGACCCAAAAATAGACCCAAAAATAGCTGAGTACCTATATTCCATACCTTTTATCGCCGCTTTATTTTTCTTAGATACAAACAAATATAAATAAAATGAAAAGAATTTATTTCAGAAATTTTGAATAAGTTATATGTTGATACCCTATACCTAGTTGTTAAATTCAAAATTACAACACTGACCTAGACATTTTTGAGAACCCTTGTATCATTTTTTCATTCAAAATCATGCGTTCGCTTCACTTTTATATGTACACTTAGTGACAGGGATGAATCCAACACTGTTTCAAATGGCGATGGCTTCTTCGATTTCCATTATAGTCTATTTGCCCTTACCCTCCACTAATCCTGTCTCGCTTTTGTTTCTAAAAGGCTGACAGGAGGAATTTTACTCTATTTTTTCACATTTTAAAAATCTTCAATCCAAGGAGTGCGTATGTATAAGCACAGAGTTAAATTAAATCTGTGGTATAAGTGAGCTACAATACAATCAACCCATATTAATTGTTTTATTTATTCAATGATAAGAAATATCACTTGCATTGTTTAGGTGTGCGATGGGTAAAAAAGGCCTGTAACCGCCTATCTCATGCGTACTTATTTATTATTATGTATACCGTACAACATGAAAGGATTGTATCGTAAAATATCACACCTCATAAACCGTTTTATAATCCGTGATTGTTTATTATCGTTGACTGACTTTTATAAACATTTTAGTGAATCCAATTTCTTTTTTCAAAACAAAGTAACTTCGCTACGCATAAAATAAATCGACAAGAACGTTGGCTTTGGGATTTTGTTTTCCATAATATTCTAGCATTAGATATTTTTAATACGGATCTGTATGCTCGCGGGATATTGTTTGCAAAGCTACTATTTACCGACATCTGTAGATAAAGAACGCAAACAAAAGATAAATTTTGAATATTGCAATTTCCTAAAATTACCATTTCTTATTAAATGTATTCATCGTAATTTATTCGAAAAAACCACAACAATCACAAGTTTTTGTCTGAGTCACTGAAGGAAACATAATCACCTCGATATTCACCTTGAGTTCTTCCTTGCAAACCAAGGCTAATTTGTTAATTTATTTTTTTTATGATTAAGTGCTAATCTAATCTGCTGCCTAATAAGTAGGTTAATGTTTATGGTAGGGCAGTTTTATTAAATTCATTTAGTAGGTACTTAATTTTGCACTTGCTCAAAACACTTCAACCTTTACGTAAATAGAAGTTAGTCAGAAAGAGATGCCATAATTATATTATGGAAACACGAAGGAATAAATCAGCTGAAAAACACACCAAAAAGAGATGAACTCAAAACAAAAAGCCATAAGGATGATTTTTTTCAAGCCTCATTATTAGGATTTGATTCCTGAGATAAGGTCAGGAAATAACCCATAATTGCATTGGTCTTACCAACTTGATCCACGTCAAGAAAGGAGGTGAAGCATTTCGTCTTTTAGTACATTTGAGCTGGTCAAAAATACACCATACCACAGATAAAATACCCAATTATCTGTGACCATACACTTAGAGAGTGTAAAATGTCGTAAATAACGGTCTATGCCTAGCAACTTAACAGTAGCGTGGACAGGCGAAAAAGTGACACCATAAATCCTTCCACTTTTGTGGATGGCGCCAAAAATTAATGACACCATCGACATAAATCCGTGCCAAAAACTAACTTATTGTAATCTTGTACCTCGATAGCTACAAAACCAATCACAAAACAAAATTTCAACTTTTTTAAAATATAAAATGATGTATTTCAAGCTCCCAGATTCTCCTTTTTATAAATTTCATCTTCAATCGAACGCGACTGAGGGAGAATTTTTGGAATGAAAATTGACTATACAATGTGGGTATATTACTATCATAGAAACTGTCTAAAAATATAGCATTTCTGTGAAAAGTTGTCTTTTGATCTCTTTTTATGTGGAGTCGTCTGCATACCTAACTCTATATTTAGCGCGCAGTCATAAATTACCAGAATAAAAAGCATAAAATACGAAACTCAGTTCGACTATAAATAAAGTTTATCCCATGATAAATTACTTTTTGACTGAAATTGATTTACTTTTATTCTAGTGGCGTTTTAATTGACTCACTTTTTTTTCAGGATTTCAAACCAGTGGCTTACCCCGTAAAGGACTATGGAAAATTCTACACTGGGGATTCGTATATTATTCTCGTTGTAAGTTCACCGACTATAGTCATCTTTGGTTTGTGCGAGATTTGTTTTACAGACCAAGGAGAAAAACGGAATTTTCAGTTGGGATATCCACTTCTGGTTAGGCAGCGAAACATCTCAAGATGAAGCCGGGTCGGCTGCTATCTTGACAGTGAGCCTTGACGACCAACTTGGTGGTGATCCCGTCCAGTACCGTGAAGTTCAAGACCATGAATCTCAGCTGTTTTTGTCACGCTTCAAATCTGGAGTACGATACTTACCAGGAGGCGTCAGCTCTGGATTTGCGCACGTCGATCGTGATAGCTTCGAAAAGAAGCTTTTCCAAGTTAAAGGGAAGCGGAATATTAGAGTGAAGCAAGTGCCTCTTTCGATTTCTTCTATGAACAAGGGCGATTGCTTCATTTTAGATGTTGGGAATGATATTTACGTGTACGTTGGTGGTCAAAGCAAGCGAACTGAACGGCTGAAGGCAGCCCAAGGTGCGAACCTGATTAGAGATCAGGATCATGGCGGACGTTCAAAGGTTCACGTGTTAGGTAAATTTCGGAATGAGCCGTTCGACATTTCTAATTGTGTTTTTAGATGAATTTGCATCTGAAACTGAAATTCAGGCGTTCTTCGATGCGCTAGGTGGGGGTGTCACCGCGGCGGATGTTCCTGAAGAATCCACAGGTGGTGATGATGAACAGTTTGAAAGCAAAGAGGAACGAACCGTTGCACTATATCGCGTTTCCGATAGCAGCGGACGAATGCAGATTCAAGAAGTGGGACAAAAACCTTTGAAGCAGTCACATCTTGACACGAATGATTGCTTCATTTTGGAAACAGGAGGTGCAAATCTTTTCATATGGATTGGTAAAAAATGTAACAAAAAGGAAAAGGACGAAGCTATGGTTAAGGCGCAAAACTTCCTTCAGACCAAAAATTATCCCGCGTGGACACATGTCGAAAGGATTGTAGAAGATGGAGAGCCTTCGTCGTTTAGGCAATATTTTCAAGGATGGCGAGGTGTTCAAGAGCTACATCCTCGTTTAATTCGCTCTGCCGCAGCAAGACCTACTCCACTAGACGAAAAAAGTGGAGGAGAACTTCCAGAGTTCATGCCCGATGATGGTTCTGGTGATGTTAAAATATACAGAGTAGAGAACTATGAATTAGTACCAGTGCCAGTTGAAAATTATGGGAAACTGTTTGGAGGCGATTCTTACGTTATTAAATATCATTGTACCAATGGTAAATGGATCATTTATTACTGGCAGGTAATTTATACGGTTATGGAAACGCATCGGTGCTAACAAAGTGTTTTAGGGAAATAAAAGTACTCTGGATGATAAAGCGGCCTCTGCAATTTTGACCGTAAAAATGGATAATGATGAACTGGGCGGAAGAGCGGTTCAAATTCGAGTTGTGCAGGATTATGAACCCAAACACTTCCTACAAATTTTTAAAGGTAAATTAATCATTTTTATGGGTGGACATGCCAGTGGCTTCATAAATATCATGGACCATGACATGTACGTTCCGGGCGGCACAAGATTATATCGAGTGCGTGGTACAAACGATTTTGATGTTAGAGCTTCACAACAATGCCCTAGCGCCTATTCATTGGAATCTGATGACGTTTTCATAGTTGAAAATACCAACCATGCATGGTTATGGATAGGAAAGGTGTGTTTTAGAGTTTTACTGTTCTTTGTCCCATTTACTGATTATTTAATAACAGGGCGCTGATGATGTAGAAAAGCGGCTAGCAGCAGGTTTTGTGGAGCTTTTGGTACCATCAGGCGTTTCACCTATTACGCTTCAAGAAGGCGAGGAAACATTACAATTTTGGGCAGCGATCGGTGGCCGAATTCCATCGTACTCTACAAGCTTCAAGGAAAACCAGAAAGCTGTAACTGACGTGAAAATGTACCACTGTCATGTAAAACTCAATGGACATGTCTCAATTGAGGAGCTGGAACGTCTCGAACAAAACGAGTTAGATTCAGATGATTTAATGCTCATCGATTCTTCTGAAGAAATCTTCGTATGGATTGGCAAAGGCGCAACAGAACACGAAATAACGCACGTTTTCAGTAAACTTCACCAGGTATAATTTATACAATATGTCAACTTAAGATTACTGTATTAAAAATTATTATTTTTCAGTTATTGAAGAGATACCAACGTGAAAATGCTATTGTTGTCACCGTAAAGCAAGGTCAAGAACATGAGTTGTTCACATCTTTATTCCCATCTTGGAAGTAGAGATCTTACATCTAACCAAGCACAAATGATATATTCCAATCCCTACTAAACGTTGGCTATATTTTTACCTGTACCCTAAACTGTTGCTTTTGCGTCATTTTATGTATGTCTCCATGATTATAATACTAATTGTGATTAATAAAAAATATATTTAGGACTCTTCTTTTTATCGGAAAGTACGAAAAAAAGACAAAAAGGTTGGGTTTATGCATATCTAAAGTTGATATCTACAATCTCCCTAAAAAGGTTTCTGTGTATATTTATTTATTTATTTATTGTCCCTCTTGTTCTAGGCCCTCAACAGGCTTTACGCCCAATTACAGAGTAACCCGCATAATGCTTTTTTTAGAGGTGCCCCTGCAGAAGGTCTTAAGTTGTTCTATACTACTCCGGTATTTACCTTACGAATTAGGAAAACTGCAGAAAAACCTATAATTCGGACTAGCCGGCAGAATGCTCGAAACTGATCTAAGGAAATTCCCATCTCTGCCACAGATGAAAAATTCACCTCAAACCAGCTTCGAACACCCGACCTCCGGATTTATACCCCAACGCTCTATGCCACTGATCTAAATGGCTATATTGGCACATGAAGAGAAAATGCGAGCTTCCCAGAATAAGTCTGCCCATGCGGTTTGCCCAGTACCTACTAAAATTGTCTTAAGAAGAGAGTACTAACAGTACAGTATGCTAAATTATCTAAAATGAAGTACGAGCTAAAGCATGCAAGAATAATTGAATAGCGTTATAGCGTTGAGTGAAGGATTCACTCAACGGTTATAGCTAGCACCGTAACCTGGTAATATTTCATCAAATGTCGACGTTTTAGATCATGTTATTTACAAAGTATCGTCACTTCCAAGGAGACATAAGATCAATTTGTTTCCAGAAAAGAATATTACCCCCGTCAATAACTGTAATTTATTTTAAATATTTTGATTTGCATAATGTAGTAGGCGGGTATTTTTAGGAATTTGCATAAAGAATTTTGTTCGAAGTAGGTAATTTTAATATTCCTAAAGGAACCGACCCGTGAAAATTATTTGCATGAAACAGAAAATACGACTTTATTTGGCTATGAAACCAATACCATAATTGTGATTGTTGTCACAGGAGTGGCAACATTTTCTCATTTATCTACTATTATCACAGATTTAAATATACTGTGCTATTGTCAAATCAAAAGATAATATAACAGAGCATATGATTTTTTCCTTATTTCACCAAAATTCTCGCTTACCGTTTCCCAAATGCCCATGTGATTACTTTTTAGAAAACCATTCCAAAATACAATTCTCTCATTAAATTCGATTTGCAGTTCTTTCATTGTTGGATTAGACTTGTTGGTCTCCGCTCGCTTTTCAGATGCTATTGCTTATCATCAGAAAAAAAAAATTGAAGCGGCAGAGCTAATATGAATTTCATTATTATTATCTACCTAATAATATAATACCAAAAGTATTTAAACAATGATAATAGCATTGTATATATAAATGATAATAGGTTGGAAAAAAAAGTTGGGACACTTTGTATACTTTAATTTAGGGACTTTAAACTTAAGTCAAAAGTTTGTCACCCTGTTTTAATTGTTTATGTATATGTTTTTGTGTACTTTAACCCTTACTGCCATAACTTTTGTACAAAAATGTTTACTGAAATGGTTTAAACAAATTAAATAATGAGTTAAATTCGCGTAATGGATTACGAATATTCTTAAGAATGATGATGTACCTGATATGTAAATACTGGCCCTTTCAAGTTTCACATGGCTTTAACAATTAATTAAAAATGAAGAGAAGTACAAGTAAACATTTATACAAGTGTCTCGTTTTTACTTTCTCATTATCCTGTTTAACTGTTTGTTATGCAAAGTCTGCGAATGTTTCGTCCCGAACTAAGGTACAGGTGGAAACACCCTCGGAATACTCCTTAAAAAATGTTACGCTTTATTTGAGTAAGGAATTTAATAAAATAAGTGACGAAGAGTTGGGTCTTACAGTGATCAAGGTGAGAGCAGGGTGCCTGTTTCATTGACCTAACTTTTGTTGCAGGAGCTGTATAGCAAGTTGAAGTATACGAAGGCGATGCAGGATCTTGATAAGGTTATTGCGAAAATTGCAAATAATCTAGAAAGTAAATTAAACGAAAGTATCTCATTGTTGGTTAAAGCGAAGGAAAAGATTGAAAATTTGGCTAAGTTTCATCCGTTCATACAAAGTGCTGGAACACTTTGCGATGACGGACTGTATGGACAGTTCGAAGTGGTCACGGTAAATTCAAATAATTCATACTCAGAACTGCCCCTTTCTACAAATCAAGGTAACCGAGTTATTGTGTGGTACGTCTATAATTCTTCTGTTGTAGTACTTCGTAAACAACTAGATAGCGTGAAACGACTTAAAGGTGCCATAAAGCAAATGTACTTGTTGTCAAGGTGGGATGTAATAAGCAATGCGCAGAATTCCGTCTATAATTGTAACATTCGCGATGAGTCTTTGTTGTGGAAATTGTATGTGTTGAAGAATGCAGATTCTACACCTAGGAATGTGATGCTGTTGCTAGATCACGGAGGGTCCTTAAGCAAGCATCAGTTTCACATTGTTAAAGCTGTTGGTAGGGACTACTAACAAGCATGATCCCGCGTAATAGGTAATCTTACAGCAAAGCATATGATATCAGTATTAAACGGGAACGATAAAGTTGGCGTGCTGGGAATATCCGACGAGTGGAGTTATCCGTATATAACGGATCAGTGTTTAATGCCAAATCAAATTCCACCGGCAAGCGATTCTCATGTTCTCTCGCCTGCGACGGATCACAATAAATACCTGTTGAATAGATTTATCGATTCGCTTACTAAAGGAAATGGTTTGTGTTGAATTAATTTTTGATGTTGATAATGGTGCATATTTTAGGTGTTACGAACCATTCTTTGGGATTTCAACAAGCATTTCAAACTATTAAGTCGAGCAACATATCTGCAAACGAATCTGTGATGCTTTTATATATAAGCAGAGGGTTGCTATCTTCTTTAACCGAGGCCAAAACAGTATTAGAAACAATTTCAAGCATGGTTGACGAGTTAGACAATAAGATACTGATTAATACTTGCGCAGTTATAGATGGTAGGTATCGACAGTAATAATTGAGGTCATAATGTTTGCTACTGTAGCAAACAGTAGTGAATACAAAATGTAAATACAATAAGATTATAATTACGGTCCAAGAAAGTAGGTGGCCGCATGCAGTTCTAGAATGTGAGATTAGATGTTTTATTAGCATTGTTTTTTATTGGTTTACAGTATATTTGTTTAATTTGCTTGAGTAGTTTAGGGTTGTTTCATACGTTATTTTAATATTTGAAAAGGTGAAAAAAACAGGGCTCAAAGGACCAATGTCTAAAGGGGAAAAAATTGTTTTGTTCTTCTGTTAGAAGTAGGCTTCAATAACAAACAAGTTAAAAAAGTAATTGTAAACGATTTACAAAAAGCGCAATTCCACTTGCATTCATTCCCATTTGTAAGATGCAATTTTTGTTAAAATCGTAAAAATCTGACCACAAATAAGAAAGATAGCGTTGCATATGTGTAATTCATTTTTGACATGCTACTTCAGTTTCAGTTTATAAGAAGAATTTCATTTCAATGCTTTTGGCACTGCGCATGCGCAAACCTAAATTTTGAAACCAATGTTAGATTTTCCTTTGTTCCAAGCGCCTACGTATTAAATTTCATTGAAATGCTTCCATAAATAAAAAAGGTGGCACTGCGCATGCGCAAAATCAAATTTTGAAACTGGCGTTAGATTTTCCTTTATTTCAAGCGCCTATGTATCAAATAACATATCGAGCGGACGGACGGACAAAGTGGCCACAATAGCGCATTTTTTATTTTTGTGAAAATGCGCTAGAAAAATTCGATTGAGGAAAAAATTTTTGAAGCACGTTTTTTAAAAATCTCATTGTGTAGATTGTAAAAGTACTTTGCAATTTAAAACTACACTGCGTGGATTTATCTCGTTTATTTCGCACAGAGATGGACTACGTTATGTTTGTATCTTTAGTTTTGCTGTGTACTATACACTGTGTCCAAGATAAGGTTGTCCGAAAACATAGAAGATATGAAGATGGGTAAATATATAAGTATATAAGTTGCGCAATTGAAGAGTTTTTAAGGTGCTGTAAAGAATACCAGAAAATTCAGACTACTTCCCAAGATATGGCAGAATAACCGAAATTTGCCGATTTTGTTTTTATTTTTTTCCAATGTTATTTGAACAGGGACCGAAACATAGAAACGCACTTTCTCATTGTCATTATTTGAGTTCTACAAGACAGCGTTTAGAGATTTTCAAGGTAACATTTAGTTTGGGAAATTAACTTTATTTTTAGCCCATTTTTTTAAAATTAAAAAAAAAGTGCTATTGTTTGCGTTTTGTCCGTCCGTCGGTCCGGACCCACTTCTGCTGTTTCGAACTTCTTCTAGGGGACTGGTCCTAGAGTCCAGGAATTTTTTGCCGTAGGTAGCCCTTGAAGGTGTACCAGACGGTCATCAAATTTCGTTGTCTAGAAGGGGAGCTCCCTCACGAATTATTTCCTGAGATGCTGTTTTTGAAAGTAAAACGTGCATAACCTTTACATATGACAACCAATTGCCTTTAGTCATGCCAAGTTAAACTTTAGAAAATGGGGGGGGGGGGGGGGTTAACACATGTTCCACCCTTCATGGGTCCCTTATCAAAGTACGGGTTGGAGGGGGAGGCGGGGGGGAGTGGAACTAGTTTTATCCTTCATGGTACTCTAATGAAAGGTCTTAACAAAAGGAATTACCTAATTTCTACCAACCATAGCCCTCCTCCTCGACCTCTTATTGTGACTGGGTATATTTCCTTATACCTCAAGAACGGATTGTCGGAAAATGGTACTCACAAAGGGCGATTGAGATGTCTGCAAGAAATATATCCATTGGTGATGTCAAAACAAAAGCTATTTCGGTTAAAAAAAATGCGCTTTATCTGCCAAGAGTGCACAATTTATAATTGTTTTATATGACCTCTAAAAAAAAGTGCATACTGTAGTGAGTAACATTCTTTATTACGAATACAGCTATTGAGTAATTAAATATGAGAATTTAGAGTGAGATATCGCTATGGCACGATAATTTACATTACGGTTGCGCCTCTTTCCTAATCCTTCACTCAACAATACAATGTAAAAAAAAAGTTGAATACTATTGGTTTTAACAGGATGGTACACTCACGCACAACGTCCTCATCAGGCAAGAATACACATCGGACATATTTTTCATTTTCCATGAAATTTGTGTGATGACTATTTTTTTATTTCGGTTTTATGGTGAGAAAGTAGGGACTGTTGAAGTTGTAGCGAATTCGATTTTTTTCATATAACTTTGTAAGTACGGTCTAATTCTGACAACACTTTTACATGATTGTTTTTCCCACAAATTGTAACACCAGAGATGTCATTCTGTAGAAAATGTCGCTTAAGGACCTCATACCGAAACATTTGCATTCACATTCTCATGGTTCAGCGTCGATTTTAGTGAAAATTTTTTTGAAAAAGTTATATCCATTCAGATTTGGTGTGTTTCTGCCCATTTTGTGCCCATTTCGGTTACTTTCAGTGGTGTTGTTTTGCTAAGACGCTTTTGAATATTTTATGGCGCACATGCTTCTTTTTTCCAACGCAATGTCAATCGTTTGAGTAGGTACCTTAAATATTACCAAAATTATTACTATTTTTTTATAAATGTAGGTTTGCAAAATTCAAAAAACAAAAATATGGTTGTACAATCAAAACCGTTTATTTTTGCGTAAAGTGATGGGGGGGGGGGTATTTTTAAAATACCCATGGCCATATGTATAAGATCCAATAAAACAGCAACATTATTGCTTTTTGTGCTTCGGTTTTAGTGAGGTTAGTGTTTATCATGTAGCTTTTTAAGTAAGCTTTGAATTTCGACGAAACCTTCTCTAACGTGTTCTTTGCGATAGATTGCAACATTGGAGATGTTCGATTGAATCGATAATTTCTTTAAATTACTACCTTTGATTTTTTCTGAATATCATATATATAATCTTTTTTTTTTTAATGTAGATACAAATCGTTTCTGATTTTGCAGATAAACGTGTTCGATACGTCTCTTTGGGATTATTAACACGGAACAATTTTCAATTTCCGATCATTTCAAAATCAATGCAATATTTAGTCAATATCTTTGACACCCCAAAAAATTCACTTAGGGCTCTCAAAACTCTGTCAAACTTTTCACTTTTCATTGGCATAATCTCGTGGTTTAGCGTCGACTTTAATAAAAACAAAAGTTAAAAAAAAAATTTTTGAACTTTTTTGAAGAAATCTGCATTTTCATACTGATTCAGATTTTACGCACTTGCGAGTATTGTCCGGATGAAAATCATTTGTCAAAGAGGTGGTCTTTATAGTAATCGTTTAGCAACGAAAAGTCTTTACATTTTCATTTTGGTGTCTTGCGAAGACCCTTTTGAATTTTTTGTGGCGCACTAAGTGTCATACGATAGTCTCATGTTTCCTATTTTTGATCGTTGTTTCAATCGTTCGAATATCTTGAATATCTAATTATTAATTTTGTTGTAAAAGTGCAAAATTCCAAATGTGTAAGATCCAATAAAAAAGTGATAATTTTTCTGTTTTACTGTGGTAAGGCATATAACTTTCTAAGTATGTAGGTGCAGAATTTCGACGGCACCTTATGTTACGTGTGAAAGATATGGAATTTATATGAGCATATAAATAGCCAAGACTAAATGTAGTTTCATCTATTTACATCTGAAATGGTTGCCCTTACAAAAGTCTGGTAATATTCTCAGGTTCATGATGTGGTTTGATAGATATATAAATCCTCTTTTTTTGTTGTAGTACCTTCGTACTTATTTTTTCCAGGCTAACTCTGGAAAAAATGAGTTACATAAGAATAGGAAAGAGATCAATAGAATGTTCTTCCACTGATAATCTAATTAATAGTCAAAACTTCGGAATCAAGATTTATAAATTTGAATAGCCTAGCATATCTGGAGAGGTTATGCATATGCTAAAATGCTAAAAAACAACTGTTTAGTCTCTATGAGTTCAAGTTAATGCTAAATGTTAAATCGGTAAACAAAACACCCTGTATATTTTAAAATGTCATATTAGGTACAACAACCAATGATTTGCTGATAAAATTATAGTCAAATTCATATACATGAGGCTTTAAAAAAACCTATGCAGCTAAGGTCTAATGCTAATGTGTTTTTTTTAGAATCGAAACCCGTTATGTACGAAACACATTTTTTGCGCGATATCGCGGAGCAGAATTATACAAAGTATAACATCGATGTACTCAGCAATGTAGAGAAAGGTATAATGTTGTTAGTGAATTCGAGCCAAGCTATTGGACTGGCAGTTGCTCAATTTTATAATATTATTAGCAGCGGGGTGTATTCAGAGAAGGAACCCTCGATTTCGTTACCTATTTGGGATCAGATTTCCAATGGTAAGTTCAGTTTGCGCTCATCGCGCTTGTATTTCAAAGATTCACTATTTTTTCAGATTTAACGGTATCCATCACCATGCCGTGTGATTTAAATGGTGAAAATAGTGTTCTGGGAGCCGACGTATATTTCTCAAACATTGCCGAGGATGTGACCTATTACAGCAACTATCACAGCTACAGTTATGCATTTCTAATTGATATGCAAGGTAAAAAGAGCTCTTGTTACCACGTATGTTTACATTCAGTTTTCCAGGTACTGCTATTATGCACCCTTCCTATCCACGACCGGCATCTATAAAAAATCAACCGAAGTTTGTTGACATTTTTCACTTGGAGAAGATAACAAATTTTACAATCACGAAACAAAAGTTATTAACTGAAGTGGACGGTTCTTATACATTGAAAGCAGAAGCTGAAGTGGTAAATATATCCTGTAACGTGAATGTTTTACAAAAGAAAATTTGCTAGCTGCGATTCATATGGAAAAGGGTGCTTAATTGGTATGTCGTTGTAATTGTTGTAAATGAAACTGAGGCTACACCCATCCGACCATACAAAGTGTCTTGGTTTCCATCGACGGTCACCAGCAAACTTGTACACCATCGTCTGGACATTATTCCTGGAACCAATCTTTGTAAACACTTAAATCAAATTGCCACGTTAGGTAAGTATAGTATAAACGGTACCTACACCATATGGCAAAGTGTATATAAAGCAAACATTTTTGGGTAGGCTGTAGCACACTTAACTCAGATTCAATAGGAGTATTGTATTTGTGCATTTATTAGTATTAAATTGTGGCGTGGCTTACGATTAAAATGGGCAAATTTTGGAATTTGGGCGCGCGATAATGGAATTTCTGTTCCCTTTGGGTTTTTTAGTGAGCGCTCTGGAAAAAGTGTAAATGGTACGAGAAGAAAGAGCCAGGTCCAGCGTAGTCTTCAAAATTTTTTTTATTGCGTAAAACGAAGTTTTCACCCTTAAAAAATGGTAGTTTTATAAACGAGATAAAATAGTCCCGAGTGGTCGTGAAAGAGTGGTGAGTGATGAGTATATTGGTATATGTAGAAAAACATGACATTATTTTTTGATTAACTTCATTCAAGCACTTAGAAAATTTTGGGTTTTATAATCGATCACACTGAGCCGCGATTTTCTGTATCAGTAGAGGTTGAGTGGATCCATCGGAAGTGTCCATGTTATGTTATTACTCAAAATGGAGTAGATCTCGATGAACAAGTTTAGAGTTTATAAGTTTATAATGTTCTTCCAAGATTGAGTGGAGCCAGTCTAAAATTAAACGCATGGAAGAAGAATTATTGTTCATAAACAAAAACACTTTTTTCTTTTTATTTCTTGAGGTTCGTTGCATTATTAGGTAATAGTAGCTCAAATGTTAAAAATAACATTAAATCAAAAAATTGGTTCTCTCAAAGGGAAAATGAATGATCTGAACTAGATGAACCTGTCGATGTAGTCAAAACTTCAAGTCAGGATATCTCAGGAGTCTGAAGAAGGTACTTTCAAAGAGAAAATGAATGGTGTTGTTGAGACATATATCTGTTGATGCGGTCAAAACTGCAAATGCTAATTTAGATGCGAGCGACATCCGGGATAGGACCTTGTCAATATTGAATGAAAAGACTTTTCGTTTGACATTGACATTGTCCTATCTTGGAAGTCTCCCCCATCTCGAGTGTCTGAGAACAGATCTCACAAAAGATAAATGGAACATCTGGCCGAGACATATCTGTTGATAATGTCAAAACGTTAAGTGCAAATATCGTGAAAATAAAGTGTTGTAGGAGAGTACTCACAAAGAGTAAATGGAACGTCTGGATGCGACATACGTATCTATTGGTAAGGTCAAACCTTTTAATTGCGAATATCTCGAAAACGGGAACGGGTACTCACAAAGAGAAAATGCAGTATTACTAAAAGAGAACTCCCCTACTCCAATTAATTACTTACTCTGTCTGTATGTCCGTGTGCACGATAACTTTGTGTAGTAATGTCCGATCGCTTTGGAAATTGATACACATATTCTTCAGGATATAAGAAATTGTGTTATTGTGTTTCGGCTACGTAGACCAACGGGCCAAAAAGTTACAACCCAAAAACTATCACAACCTCCAAAAAAAGGGTTCACAAAGAACATATGAATGTCAGGTTTTCTGTGTTAGTAAATATTCCTTAAACCTCAAGCAACGATGCAGATTAAAAAAAATCGCGCATGCGCAACCCAACTTTTCTATTTGCGTAATCCCATTTTGTTTATTTGTTGAGATATTTAAATGACATTTTGTATGTACGCACTTCGAACAAAAGTAAGAGTAATGCGGAAAAAAAAATTTGTTTTGCGCATGTGCAGTCGATTTTTTGTTATTTGTTAAGATGTCTACATGAAATTTTGTATGTACATACCCCGAATAAAAGAACTAATGTCGAATCCAAAAATTTGTTCTGCGCATGCGCAATTGATTTTTTTAAATTTGTTCAGATATTTAAATGAAATTTTATATATACGTACCTTCAATGAAAGTAAAACTATTGCCGAATCAAAAAATTTGTTTTGCGCATGCGCAGTCAAGTTTTTTTATTTGTTAAGGTGTTTAAAAAAAAATTTGTATGTAGGCACCTTGAGTAAAAGTAAGAGTAATGTCGAATCCAAAAATTTGTTCTGCGCATGCGCAATCGATTGTTTTTAATTTGTTCAGATATTTAAATGAAATATTCTATATATCCATCTCTAATAAAAGTAAAACTAATGTCGAATCAAAAAATTTGTTTTGCGCATGCACAGTCGAGTGTTTTCTTTGTTAAGATGTTTAAAAGAAATTTTGTATGTAGGCACCTTGAGTAAAAGTAAGAGTAATGCTGAATCAAAAAATTTGTTTTGCGCATGCGCAGTCGATTTTTTTGTTATTTGTTAAGATGTCTACATGAAATTTTATATGTACGTACTCCGAATAAAAGTAAAACTAATGTCGAATCAAAAAATTTGTTCCGCGCATGCGCAATCGATTTTTTTAATTTGTTCAGATATTTAAATGAAATTTTATATATACGTACCTCCAATGTAAGTCAAACTAATGCGTATTGAAAAAATTTGTTTTGCGGATGCGCAGTACATGTTTTTTATTTGTTCAGATGTTAAATCAAATGAAATATTCTATATATCCACCTCTAATAAAAGTAAAACTAATGCCGAATGAACAAATTTGTTTTGCGCATGCGCAGTCGAATTTTGTTATTTGTTACCTATCGTCAAATATTGGCGATTGGTTTCTCTTGGGTAGCAGAGTGGGCCCCTCAGGGAGGGGGGAACGTGACAACCAGTGCCGTAGCAACGTCATTACGGGCCTGTGTTCGCCAAAGTACTAGCGGGCCCTACTCGCTCGCAAGGGTATCACTAAAAGGGTTTTATATGCATATAAAATAGTTATAAGTACATACATGACTATTAATAATAGGGGCTCTTACTACTCATTTCATGTTGCTGATGTTGCGTCACTTGTTTGGAACTTTCAGTTAGATTTATAGAAATAGATGTTTCTGTACGATTGTTACTTGCACTGGTACTGGTACTGGGAGCCGCACTTAATGGAAGAAAATGTGTTATTTTGGGAAGCTTTTGTATTTTTTGTGCTAATACCTTTTTCTTTTGGCGGCTCCCGACTGATGTTTATAACTCATTGTAAATACAATTCGCTTCGCATATAGTTTACAAAAATCAAAATTTCGTCGCAATGTCGCACACTTAACAACTATATTTATTTTTAAATAACGTCTGCACATAAACAAAAAAAATCTTTCAAATGAAATAAACGAGAACTGAAAACTGCAGTTACACAAAGTGCAATTGAGACAAACTAAACATTTTTGATTATTCCACAAAGCTTATGGCTACTAATGAAACGAAACGGGATTGTTTTCAGGGAAAAACGGCATGCTTGTATTTTTGTAGTTGTAGGTAGGTAGGTACTATACTATTGATAAGTCATTTACAACTTTGTTTATGTGCAGTGAACTTGGAACGTGATATTTTCTGAAGTAAGGGATTATATTTTTATGAATGTATTGTGAAGATAATAAATGGGTGACCTTTCAGGAGCCTTTTGCTTTAGCCGCAGTTATACAGATATTCTATTCTATATTACATTAACTTATAGTTTATAGTTACCATTTCCACTCCATCAAAAAAACACTATTTTTAATTTTTTATAGGCAAATTCATTACGGGCCCTTGCGTGCCCGGGCTCGTGTTCCGCGGAACACCGGTAGCTACGGCGCTGGTGACAACTATACGTCTGTTCATTATGTCTTAATTTAAAAAAAGTTTGAGATTGACTGATTGATATACTTTCCCACGATTTCCTACTAGGATGTATCTAACGCCCCCCACACTACTAGAAAATATATCTCAAATTGACACAATAGAATAATATTTATTTTTTCTACTTTTTTAATAAATACGCAAAAGTATATGCCTTCTATAGGTCTGAGATGGGTGTGCTGCGATTCATATCAATTGTTGATGGTATTTACATGTAAAATCTCGCTGTGTTTCTATTAGATGCCGGTTCATTGTACCTAAGCTCATCATGCTTTCAATCGCCTTTCTCCTACCTTCATTTTTCAACGGGCGAAACCACATCTTTACTGATACAAACGTACATGGCGTATTTAAAGGACAACACAAGACTGTTGGCAAATCCAGGTTTTAAGGAAGAAGTTCGCGATGACGTCGTGGCGCTAGCCCATATAATGGAGTTTCTACGACTGCAACACTTAACGGGCTCTCGAGCGAAATACATCGTGAGACGGTACATTGTCACGCCGACAGGGGTAGTACAAATGTTTCCAGGCAGCTTCATACCTTCTGGAATTGAACCAACGAAACGGGTTTGGTACTTAAGGGCAGTGGACCACAGGTATAAAACAATACTAACCCCACCATATTTGGACGCTGGAGGAGCTGGGTATATTGTTACAATTGCGTTTGCAACTCAACATGTAGTAACTGCAATGGATGTAACATTCGGCTACATTTACAAGCTGCTTTTGCAAAATATGCCGTTTTGTAAGGACGGTGTGAAGTGCTTCTTGATGGATGATCGAGGCTACCTAATTTATCATCCAAATTTGATAGATCCTAATGGTCACGGACCTATAGAGCAACAGCATATTATTCATAAGGAGTCCCTAGTTGCAAATGATATCTTGAATCATAAACACTTTGTGAAGAAAATGTTATGCAATGACTATGCGCACGGGACAATACAACGTTTCTATCGATTAAATACCAGCCTAAACGAAATATTAACTAATGCAGTTCATGGAGAGCACTGTGTCAAATATCAAGTTAGTGTAATTGAAGGTACAAACACCTTTGTAGGTATGGTGAATGCCACGTGCGAAGTTATCGCCACTTTCTGCCCGTGCAGTATGGTTGACCGCCTCTGTTTAAATTGCAATAGGATGGAACAGAAGGAGTGTGAGTGCCCATGTGAGTGTCCATTGGAGATAGACACTTGTACCCACCCCAATAAAACTTTCATGGAGAACCCGCTATGCGGAACAACTCCAGAACTTAGTTTGTTTGTTAATTCCATGTCTCACACCAAATACCCCAACAACGAACTGAAATCGTGTCTTCCCGTTTCGTGTGAACTGCAGTTGACATACGAAAGTTGCCTTGGAGTTTTGGGCTGCGAGTGGTGTCAATTAGATGTTGACGGCGAGACTTTACTCACAAATCCGTTTTGTACATCGTTTACTACATGTTTTAACGGCGTGCTGGGTTCAGTCACGCCTTATGGTGACGCAATTAGCGGCTCATCGACATCTGATGACCTTCTCGGATCTACCTACTCTCCAATAGGACCCATAGTGGGCTCAATAGTGGGAGTCTCTTTAATAATCGGGCTCATTTTTTTCTGCTACCGTTCATATAGCACTCCATCAATCGACCGTTGTTACTTCGCATCCACGCAGGGCAACCAAGTGAGAATGAGTGATTTTAACATGAGCGACGAATTTCAGGAAATTGACAACCACCAAGATAAATTGCTCCAAGATACGAAGAAAAGAGAGCCCATTTCGCCATACTGCGTCTCCACTGGTTACAGAAGACCTCTAACTGCGGCAGATTCCGATCATGGATACTCAACTATGACTCCTCATGATGAATCTGAGCACTTGTCTTTTGCCCCAATTGAAATCGATTCGCTCGAAGACGATTGCATATCGGATGCGACGTCCATTAACACATCCGTGTCTTCGAAACAGCCGAAGGCGAACTCCTTCGACTTACGAAATAAGATGAGGGTCCTGCCTCACCTAACAGATTTGCAAATGACCTCTGTGCCAAATCGAATTATTGCCCCCGTTACAGTTCATAGAAATATGGAGGTAACATAATGAACAGTTTTTTTTATCGTGTTAATTTTTACTATTGTACTTATTTAATTGTTAATTATTCGTGTAGTTGTAACAGTTTATTACCCGACAATCATATAACCTTTGTGATATACCAATAAGCAACGTGTGACTGAAACTATTTTACAAATTGTACATATTTTATAAATAAACAGTTGCCAAATTTTACAAAAATTGTTTATCGCATTTATCACTAACAGTATTGTGGGTTTGCATTAAAGTGTAAGGAAGAGAAGCCTAATACACCTACATTACATAATATGGTATGGAAGAGATCATGCGATCCAAATCAAAGCAACACACTTGTACTGGGAGACCAAGACAAATAAAGGTAACATTTTTTTAATGGTCTGTTAGAAATTATTTTTAGTTTTTCATACAACGCTGTAAGAGCCTTTATTATCCCAACAGAAGAGCCAAAATTGAAAACAAAGAACTCTAGAGAATCGGAGACCGTTTTTTTGGCAAATGAATCAAAGATCAAGAATACTTCTAAATTTCATAATGAATTAAAATGACCCTTCAATACACATAAAATAAAATGTCCACACTGTTCAAAATAAGTATAATACACAAAGTTCACGTTTTGTTCTAAATATTAATGGCAGTAGATCCCATTTTAATTATAACAGCTTTCGAATTTGTTAACTTTTTTTTAAATAAACAAAATAAAATGGACTCTAGAATGAAATATAACTAAAAGGTATTTATTTTGTATGTAACGCATGTACTTTATCTGGCTGACTAATCTTGGGTGACTGCCATGAGGGTAATGTGTGAGAGGAACAGCGCATAATGTGCATATTGCTTCCTGTCCCAGAGGGCGACTTTCTGGTGACCAAGACAGCCAGGGGTCAGGAGAAGGGGATCGGATTTTAAGGTTTTCTCCCAGATCCGCCCGCGCTTACCGCTGCCTCGATCACTCCACCCACCCCAACCGTTTAGCCATATGGAAGGCTTCCGAGCCTCCGCCCACCTACACAGCTAAGTATAAAGGCTCTAGTCCCAGAACAGTGGTGTAGTGGGGCCGTGAGGTGGAAACGCGTGGAAAGAGCATTCGCCGTTCCCAGTCTACTTTTTCCAAAAATCTTATAGACTAGGGTTGTCCGCAAATGAAAGTCTCAAATACTTTTGCAGATAGCAAAAATCATTTTATTGCAATACCAATTATAGATTCTGAAATTTGGAATGATCCTAGGGGTCTCCGAAACCGACAATGAATATGTTCACTTACCCTATACCTATAGTAGGTATGAATATGCACTAGTGAGTTACCATGGTTGTCAAAGTTTGGCCGCCCATCGAATATTGTTTATTGGGGCCCTCTAATCAAATATGGAAGGGAGGCCGATGGATCCACCGGTAACTTCCGGTTTCATGACGTCATAAAGTGCGCAATTTCGCTAATTCGGAAAAATGCTTCTATCTCAGTAACCACTTGTCTGATTTTCATGATCTTGGGCTCATTGGAAAGACATTAAAATAAGACAGAACTTTTATGAGAAATACAAATCGCGTTTCGCGAAATTTGCTAAAATTTGAAAAATTCGCGAATTATTTTTTTTCTTTGGGATATAGGTAAAACGTTATTAAAACTTGTAACTTATGAATAAACATTTTTATAACCTGTTTCACCTACGGTTTTTCGAAAAAAAATCCTTTTTTATTTGGATACTTGTAAATAACAAAAAAACATTTTTGGGATTTGTTTCTTTCTCTTTTAAACCTAATAATCCCGGCCAATAAAAATTGCTTCCATTTTACTTACTGAGATGTAATCCGTTATTGTAGTACATCAGCCACCCATATTTTACGTAGGTATATATTGGTTAAAAAATGGACTGCTAATAAAATAATATGCAAGAAAATACAGTAATAAGGAAATATTAATGTAGATTAGATATATTGCAACAATAAGTTCTGTACCTACAAATAGTAAATTGTACCTATCTCGCAGGTCCCTTATTCTCTAACCCTATTGTATCACACCAGTGTAATATTTTTTTCTCCAACCACCTGAATAAGACACTATTTTGTCACACTTTTTGGTGCAAAAAATGGGCGATTTCGGGAGTCGTCGGTATCACCATGGTAACTGCCCAAAAAGTATAGGTACTTTTCGGACTTTTTGATCCACCTCTGAAAGATGGTGTAGTCACATCCTGTTATAGTGACAAAGAGAGGGGGAGCAATGCAAAGATTTGGGCCGAGGACATCCCCTTTTTCGACATCCATAAATTTTCGGTTATTTCCTGATCCAATATCAATGAAGATTTTTCAGATAGATTCTTGTCTCTCCTTTAATAGAATACTCCTAGTATGAGTCCCACACTATTTGTAGTCTGCTTGCTTTCCTCAGCTCATTGTCAATGTATTTTAAAAAACATAGCTGTTACCGTATTCCTCAAAAGTTGAAGCACCCCGAGGAAGCAGAGTGAATGAGAACACCTCCATCTACAATAACTGCATCGTACACAGAAGGAAGATCTGTCATATCATCGGAAGGCTATCTAGAATATCTGACTTCTTTAGCGGTACATTTTTTCAGAAGAACTAGGGAAGGGGTAAATTCTTGCACTTCATGTGCGAAAAACTCATCGATGCATCCTTTCCTTGACTATGTGCCTAGTGGCTACGTAGGTACATCTTGCCTAGAACAGACGCAGTTTCTCTTAACATTCCAATTTTTTGTGGCTGTGTTCTCTTCCGCTTTGTTGCTTGGAACAGATGGAAGATATTTTTCTGTATAGAAATATTAATTGCTTTAGTCCTATCGGTGATGACCTCCTTTACGCAAGTTTTGTATTGAATCATCCCACTTTCTTGCTACGGATTGCCTATCTTCACTTATTGCACCTACGAAATTGCCGAGTTCGCTTCCAAACTCGTTGAATGGATTTCCATGCGCAGTAGCATAGCAGCAGTCATAGACTTTACATCAGTAAGAAAGTCATTCTGATTCTGCAGACCTTCATCGTGGTGAAAGAGGTCGTAGTCAACATCTTCTTGCGCTTTTGATATACTATTTTGAAGTCTGCGACTCTTTTACTCACATCGGGATTGTACAATGACCAGTTCATCACTGATAGTGGATCTTGGGTCAAACCAATTAGACCTCAACTTCCTTTCATTATCTTGTTTAGTTGTTCGTGACTCTGATCGATAGCAATGCTTGAAAATTGGCTTCTTGATCTGTTTACGACAAAGTTGCCAGCAATAAATTGAGAAGAAGGGATGTTGGTAATCTTTTTAAATCCCGAACGTGAATGGGAATTGGTTTAAAAGAGAAAGAAGCATGCTGGAGTCAGTGTAGTGGTCAGTAGGTATCTCATTTCTTATGTCTGCATCCGCCATCATTTCTGGCGTTTTTAGAAGAAAGATGGGTCTGTAGGTGTGGTAGGTATTTGGGACGCCGTTATTGGCAAACTTATCAAGGGAGAACATGCGCTTGCTCGTAAATATACTTTCTGGCCACTGTAAATTAAACAAGCATTATGCATCGCATCACGCATGGGCTTGGCTGGAACACCCTCGTGTAAGGCTGTAGGGGATGCAATGTAGTCGTCTCGCTCCATCACATTCTTTACGAGTGTCGCGCACTCGCTAAGGGCGGACGACCCTAATCGTGGACGCGGTACAAAGGGCCTAAAAGAGAGGCCTATGTGTGTGTGGAACTGTGGACGTAAAGTTTACCTTCCTTTCGAAGTTCAGAATGCAGACACAAATTAAATTATTCGAACTTTACTTGAGTACTTTCACATACCTAAATTTTGTTAATATTTTAATAATGACTCTCACATTTAAAGATTTGAATCTTTGATTTTGATAGTATCATATTTAGCTAAGTTATTTTCTTAGCAGGTATATAGGTTGGTTTCATGTCACTAAGAGTAGGGCATTATTTTTGGTAATCCTCATTTAACATTTAACACAAAAGTTCGCTTTCGAAATTTCATTTCCACATATGAAGAAAATAGCCGGGCTTGAAAACGTTGTGTAGGGTGTGTTGCCTATACATAGCGATGTTCAAACTTGCGTGTTTCCAACAGTCCGAGGAGAAAAGAAATGGATCAAAAGGGGACGCTCTTGACGGGGAGACGAAGGGTCCAGACAGAAAATTTACTACCATGCTTTTTTGTTTCGAAGAAGTCAAGTCAAGACTACACGTCAATTTTGAAAATGCAAAAACTTTTTTTAATGGAAAGCGTCCTCTTTTTTCTTGCAAAAGGATTCTACACTGAAGAATGACGGCAGTTTGTAATATTGCTTCCGTATATTTAAAACAAACGGTGGAAATTAAGCTTTTTTCATATACAGTGTGTCCCCGGATGCTTATTGCCAATGTGTTGTACAACACAGTGTTCGAAAAAATGTTCAGACACGACAATATTTAATTTTAATTTGTTTTATTTTTATTTATTCCAAACTAAAAATGTACTCTTTATAAAAATGAAATTTAATGCAATTTTGCAATATGCGTAAAGGAAATAAAATATATAGGTACTTAAACTTTTAAACACAACACGTGATTCTTATACTGCACAACTGCAGGGCCACTGACCTGACTGACTGTTACTACTAGTAATAAAAATATGAGCTAATTGTGCCCGTCAATATAATGGCGTCACATCAGGCGCCTAGGTACCTACTACTTAAATACTGTGCATTTCAGGGTAATGTAATCAGTCTTATTCTCGTGGCATTTGTTATTTTAGCAAATTTGCTACGTTTAACGAATTTGTTAAGTCGCGTTTAACAAATTGTTAAGTAGTTTTGTTCGTTTGCAATTCTGGTGGCACTTTGCTAGAAGCGAGTTAACAAGTAAGGGCGTGGCTACGGTTTTGCTACGCCATACCGCATGAATGTAGCCGTTTCTTGTCCGTATTCCGAAAAGACGCACAAATAGTTCGAAAAACATTTTCTTTTTGAAAGAACTCCAAGAAATTGCAGCAGCTCTGAATAAATTAACTAACTGCTGTTCTCCACGACATAGTAGCTGCGATTTGGAGCCGAAATAGTTGAATTCGCCTAAAATATTTTTATATTTTTTAGTTATCGTTACTATTATTCTTCACGCTTACCTACTCTTATCTCGTTTGATATATTTTATGAGTTTATTTTAGTTTATTAACTTGTTCTTTTCTGGACTTTCATTTTTTAAT